GTCATTTATTTCTGTAGTTGGTTTTATTTTGTCAAGGAACATGTTTTTCAATACTAACATTTCATTGTACTGTCCATTTGAGTTCTTAAATATTCATCCATTCTCGGTTCATTGTCTGCAAAGTAAGTTTTTATGACATTTTGCAAACTTTCGTTTGCAAGGTCATGTACAATAGGTTCTCTTCCTTCTCTCTCCCTAACTTTCTTTCTAAACTCTTCACCAAATATACCATCTTTATGGTTCTGTGTAGTTCTTTGAGATAAATGTTTTAGAACGTCAGGTGTTATATTTCCATCAGCCATGTTCATTTCATACTGGTCCAAAATATCTGCATGTTTCATATCTTTCAATGGCATTAAAGCCGCTGAAAATACCAGCTATATTCTGGTTCCACATTCACTTCCATTGCGTCTACAACTTCTTGGAATTGTGGTTGTAAGTTTATGAACCACCTATCCGGATTAGCTTTATGACCCCATCTCATTGTAGTTCCATAGTCTGCAGAAACAAAAGTAGGTTTGTTTCCATATTGGTTAGGTTCTGAATGAACTTTAAACAAAGTTTCATTTCTATATTTTGTTGAAAATTTAACCTTATATTTCACCGAGTTCAGCAAAAGATTGAACGTTATATGGTCGTAAGTAAAAAGGATTGTTGATTTTGCGTACATTTTCTTCAGTACTTCCATTCTATGCTGAATATTTTCATCTGATGTTGGAGTCTTTTGTAGTCGGCGAACATTTTTCGATATTCTTCTACTATGTCAGCCGAATTTTTCTTAGACTCTGGAAAGATTCATATTCCCGCATACACTTGTTGAGGGTCAAGATTTTTCGGCTGTTCCAAATCTTCATCTAGTTCTGTGAAGTTAGTTTCCAAAGGAGACTTGTTCGTTTCCTTCAGGCTCTTCTAGCTGTTGTTGCTGAACTATTTCTTCCATGTCTGGTTGTATCTGAACTTCTTCCTGTGGAGTTTCTTGTACCTCATCTGCTGCATTTCATATATTCCGAGACCGTTTTTAAAAAGTTCCCTATCTAAGTCATCCGGACTCATAAACCTTTCTTCTTTCGTTCCGTCTCTATTTTTTACGCGTTTCATGAAGAGAGTTGAATTATCATTTAGCTCTGACACCAAATATCTCGAGTAAATTCAGTCATGTCATTTGATGATATGCTATTAAATCATATCCCTTAGCGAGCTTGTATTTTCCAGGTTTAAAATTATATCCCATTTGGTGCTGAACCATAAAGCTAAATAGGTTCGGGTCAGTATTCCTTCCTTGAACTTCTAATAGCTTCTTTATATCTGTCACTAAAGTCAAGAGTATCTGGTAACCATAATTTTCCTTAAGCATTTTTAAGAATTCTTGGTTTCCTTGTTCTCTACTTCTTTTATGTCCTTGCTCTGTTTTGTGTGCTTGTCGGTTTTGAACTGTGTTGTGTGCATGTTGAACTGTTGGTTGGGTGCAGTGTTTTGAACTGTTGGTTGTGGTGCAGTGTTTTGAACTGTTGTTTTGTGTTGGTTGTTGTGTGTTGTTGTGTTGTGTTGTTTTGTGTTGGTTTTGGTGCATGCCTGTGTCTGTGTCCATGTGACGATGTAAATGTTTTAGTAGTCCTGGTGCAGGTGCTTCTCTTGGAGGGTTTGGTGGTATATAAGTCTCCACAGCTGGCACATATGTTCCATCTGCAGCATAATGTCCTACCTGACTTTTCGTTTTTAAGAAAGCATTTACTAGTCTGTTTTGGTCTGTTGTAACTCTTTTTCTTGACTTTCCACAACAGTTTCTCTAACGGCGTCATAGGCACTTTGAACTGCCTGTCTCGTTGCTGCATCTGTTATTTTCGTCATATTTTTGTGCTACTTCTCTTAACTCGTTGTCGAAACCTTCAGACTTCAGTTTCTTTCCAGATGAGAAGTCATTCACTAGTTTCACCTTACTATGAAGACATTCGAAGGCGTTCTTAAAGTCAGCATTCATTAAAGCTTCATTTGAACTTCTTCATCCGCTTGTATTTTTGTCCTTATTGACCTATAAATTGGCTGCTTTGGCTTGGCTTGGCATCTAACCAGTCATTATTAGCTTTTATATATTCTGCGCTTTTCATTGCCTTTTGCATGGCTGCGTCGTTATTTTTACTTTCTTGTGCTAAGTTTTCATACTGTAAGTTTGGTTTTGCAACTGTAAAGTTTTTCTGCCTTTACATTTGCTTCAACTCTTTTTTATACTCATCGCTATCCATATAAGTCTTCAGGGCTTTTTGTTTTATTTCTTCATCTTTCAGTACTTTATATTGAGTAGATGGTTTTTCAAATTTATAACATCTTGTTCCATTTTTGCTACTTCTGCTGCTTTTTCTGACACTTTTTCGCATATTCCTCTGTACTTAGTTCTTTCAGTTGTTCTTCTTTCTTCTTTTCTCTACGTTTAACTCATTGAGTTTCTTTGTGTGTCTGTCATATTCTAGTTTCTTTTCGTTTTCACTTATTTGTTTCTGTATGTCTATAGTTGACTTTTTGACATCTGTTATTTGATTTTTGAGTGAACTCAAATTCATTTGACTTTGAGGGTTATAAGCTGTTCCGTCTGCAGCTCACCCATAGCCTGCCATTTTCGCTAAAAGTGCCGCTCTTAAACCTCCACTCTGTGCACCAATAACTCGGTTTAAAAGCATAGGGTTGCTTGACATTTGTTGCAACATAGTGGGGTCATTCATCATTTGTTGCAACTGTTGTTGTGGTGTCAGTTTTACTATTGGATGTTTCAATGCTCCTTCCTCTTACGTATATTCTTACGTAGCTTACGTGGCATTTTAAGTGAAGTAAAAAACGGTTTTTGACAGATGTTTATATGACACTTTTTGTTCAGCACAAAAAACTACTCGGTCAAAGTGTTGTCAGTTTTGTAAAATAACCGTCCTATCTCATTCTATAAGGGGAAAGGCTTCTCAAAGTATACTTCCTTGGAACGCCCGTAACTTTTCCTGTAGCGACGATAGACCCTTACTTGTCCGGACAAAGTTATACTATTTTGAGTGCTCTACAAAAAAAGTCAACGGCTGGTCGGCTGGGGTTCGGTCCTCCTCTTGGGTCTTGGGCAAAATTTCTTAGCTAGAAGCGCAGCCCCTGGAAGCCCCACTACCTTTTTTTTTAATTATCATATTTAAAATAAGAATATACTAGTTTAGGTGGTATAATTTTTTTCGATAAATTTGAGAGCATGTACGTTTAGGACATCAAAAGTGTCAATTCGCTCAGCGAAAGCTGAGCTAGCTTCGTTCTCGAAAGAATAGGGAAGGAGTGAAAGAGAGTGATACAGATGTTGACACATTCATATCATTTCAACAAATTTTGATCAAATTGAAATGCAATGAAATTCAATCACTTCATATCCTTCAGTCAGTACATTGACATCCTTCTACATCACAATGATAACTCGTGCATCAATAGTTCTACAACTAACTCAGAAAAAACAAGATTTTTCCTTCCAGCTTACACTTTTAAAAAATTTCGATGATAAAAATCACTCTACTCTTGTTTATCGATATGTTTGTGATAGTAGGGTAAACGTATTCTTACGATATTAATAAAAATATTTTTACGAAAATCTGAACAATTACAGAGTTATGCATAAAGTTTATGATAACTGTAATTACTTCATCTTTGTTTTATATTTGAATAAACAATTTAATTTAATTTGCATAATTTTTTTTAGTTGAAAGACAGGAAACTTAGTTGAGTTTGTATTATTTTATCGTTCAATTCATTGTATATGTGAGTGATCCAGATATTTAAGATATTTAGAAAAATTTATTAATTTGATAACAAATTTTAATCAAAATAGCAAAAATCTATTTGATAGCTGTAAGCAAATAATAATTTCTATTTCAACCAAAATCACTTATTTTCATCTAAACGTATAAAATTGTCAATTTATTGAGAATAAATTTAAAATCTCATGAAATATAAAGGAGAGTAATATTTTCAATTTTTTTTTTTCTCTCAAATATTTTCTATTGGGAATTTTCTTGTTATCAAAAAAAAATATTAATATTTGTTTATTTCATTACATACAATAAAATTTTAAAAACTCTATTTCTTCACAAGAAAATTTTTTCCTTCATATGAAGAAACATTTTGTTCTCCATTTGATGCTGAGTCTAAATCTCGATTTTTGAATTTTCTTCTTTCCAAATTTCTTTTTCCAAAATAGAAGTTTAATTCAAATTTTCAATAGTTTATATATTTTCTCAAACCGTCTCAGATTTTCTCACTTTTTAGGGATTTTCTCTCAAAATATACAAAAATAGTAATACCAATACATGTGTCTAATATACTTTAAAATCATCGTGATAAAATTCAAAAACGAAGAGTTCTTCTCTCCAAATTTTTTTCAAAATCAAAAAAATGAGATAAAAAAATACGTTTGGAAAATTCATTTTTAGCATTTTAGGAATTTTCTCACTTTTCTTCCAAATTGACATCCTTACTCACCACTTTCAAGTTTTTCATACATATATCTTACCCATTCATTTGGAATACGAGGTCTCGAGTTTTCGTTCATTTTTTTTACTTTACAAAACTGTTTATTTTTCAGAATGTTTAAATTTGAAAAAATCCATTCTATATCTGATAAATAATATATTATTTTTCAATCAAAATATTTTGATTATCATCTCAAAAGTGTTCTCAAAACCTAGTTTTTCTTATTTTGGATAATCTTAATATTTTATATTATTATAAACTAATTGAACACCATATGTTTTTGTATACTTTTACAAAAAAATTGATAGATTTGTGATACTTTCCCCGACGATAGAATTGAATAGCTTACATTTTGAAAGAACTTAATATGGAACAATATATTCGACAATACTATATTTAACTCTGATATTAATTTTCGGTTAGAATATGACCAGTTTTCTCTCAATATTTCTGAGAGAATGACAAAATTTTACGAATTTGGGAGATAAAAAGTGTCAATTTTCCCAAATTTCCCAAGAATGCAAGAGCCGCTAGTATTAGCAATTCAAAGCCACGTTACACACGGAAAGTGTGGAAATAGATCTGGTGTTCTTCCTATGGAAGTTAATGGAATCGACGTTGACCCATTAAATACAGTAAATTTCTCCACTCACACTGCATATCCTCATGTAAAAGGAACAATCATGAATTTACAAGAATTCAGAGATCAAATGGATGGTCTTCGTTACAATAAGATTCTTGAAACTTACACACATCTCCTCACTGGTTATATTGGCGATCCACAAGTTGTTCGTGAATTAGTTAGCTTGCGCAAAGAGCTTAATCCTGGAGTCCATTATCTTTGCGATCCAGTTCTTGGTGATGCCTGCGGTTACTATGTGTCAAAAGATTGTTTATCAATTTTAAGAGACGAGCTTGTCCCAGTAGCCGATACAATTACTCCAAACTCATATGAAGCCGAGTGGCTTACCGATAAAAAGATCAACAATCAAAAAGATTTAATTGAAGTTGTCAATGCTTTGCATAAATTAGGTCCAAAGAATGTAATCATCTCAAGCATGGTTTGGAAGCATAGATATGTCTTCTTCAGCTTCGACAATGGAAAACAACAATATGTTTATGAAACTCCAAGCTTCGACAGAGGATTTACAGGACCAGGAGATATCTTTGCTTCTCTTCTAATGGCATCCATCGTTAAAACACCAAATGATTATTACAAGATTGCATCATATACAGTCAATGCTACATATGCCATCATCAAGAGAACATACGAACTTGGATTCAGAGAATTGGCCCTCCACAAGTCAATTGATCTTATCATCAATCCACCTGAAGAATTTAAACCACTTGATCTCCAGGCACTCTTAAACCTCAAACCAGAAGAGTTATAAGAAATTAAAAATAAATCACTATTTTTCTAAATTTGAATATTTTAAATTATTTTTGTTTTTCTTATTGCTTGCTTGTAGAATAGTGCATACTTAATGAGAAATAGTTAATTCGATCATACTAATTTGCATTATCGGAAAGTTTTTCAAATTATATCAACTGATTTTGAAAATAAATTATATAAAAACATAATTTATTCAAAATCATTAAGAAATATTAGATAATTTAAGTAATTTGACATAAATTTTATTAAAATTTTCTAGAAAACAGTCCCCCAACCAATTTCTTTATAAAAATTTTGCATGTTATGGATAGCTAAATCAAATACAAAAACATCAGTTAAATGGACGTTTTTTAATTCCATGATTACTCCTCTCGATCATGTGGCTTTGATTCCAATGCGAGGGCGAGATGTTCAGTTTGAAACTAAGAAAACTTCACGTAGGCAAAAGAGTGAAAAGGAATTTGAAACTCCTTTGCTACCTTTCGAGAAAGATGCAATCAAAAAGAAAACAGCTCGACCTAAAAGCGAAGCCAAAGCGACATTATCAGGATCATTGATAGATAGACAGCCTAAAAATGCAGAAGGAGTATATGCAATTCGCTTCAAAGATTCAACTTGGAAATCAACTTCAACAAATTGCAGAGATCAACCACCAACTCGCGACTACGTACAAGGTTTACTTACAAATTACACTAAAAATCTTGATTTAGTTGATGGATATCAAGGCGTAGATCTTGCTTCTCAAATGCAATCTGTGAATGACTTAATGCTTGAAGAGCTTATCAACGAATTACGTGTTGTCAATCTTGGGCAAGCTAAGTTACTTGAATTATTTAGACAAAGTACAGCTAAAGTTTTCAATTTATTATACGAAGATGCAGCTATATCAAGAAAGGAAAATATCCGTCTTAAAACGGAAACTCAGCAAGCTATTGCTGATAAAAATAACGCCATTACTCAATGCAATATTCGAATTCAAAATTCAGAAGAAGAAGCTGCCAGAAAAATTGCAGAAAAGGAACGAAAACTACAAACAAAAATGGCCGAATACGATAACGACATGAAGAACTTCCTTGAACAGAAAAGTAAACTCGAAGATCACGTCAAAGCGTTACATCATGTTTTCTTAGACTTCCAACAAGATGCCGTATATCTTAAACTCGAAGAACTCAAACAAGAAGTTCAAAAGAACCAACAGAAACTTACAGAAAAGGACGAAGACATCGTGAGACTTCAAATTGCGATTCAAAAATGGAAAACAGTTCATGCAGAGCAACAAAAGAAACAAAGTGATTTAGAAGATGCTAATCAGTTACTTAGAGAACAATTGCAAGGCGAGCAACTCAGTCTCATGCAATTGCAAAGGCAATATGATAATCTAAAAGCTGATTACGATGCATTGACAAATGCTGTTCCAGAAGAACTCACGAAATCACAAGAATTATTGAAGGAAATCAACGAATTAACAGCAGATAGTGGTAATAAAGATGAGAACATACATACACCATTAGTTGCTCTTTCTCCTTCGCGAAGGAAACTTCAACAAGCAGGTGGATTTAATTTCGATGGAACACAGTTTATTTCTGTTTACCAAAAAATGGCAAAAGTTGAATTAAACTGCCAGAAATTCATAGAAAACGCTACTGGATCTCCTCCACAATACAAGAAATCATCAGATGAAGCAAACGAAACTAAGTTGGTCAGTGGAAATCCTGAAGTTGCTTTGTCAGCTCTTTCCAACAAAATTGATGATTTAAATGAGTTGTCAAATATCATCAATGAAGTGAAAATAGGAGGATACACAGGAGGAAGTAATTGCAGATTCGTACAGTTCTTCAGTATGGGCATTGCTGGAAAACCTGCAATGAAAACTGAGTCGAAAGCAAACCTTCAAAACTTGATTCGAAAATTATTTAACGCAAAATTTTTGTCAGATGAATGGAACATCAGAGGAAAACTTCCTTTGACTCCTTTCCCTGACTTTGTTTTATCATACTTCTATAATGAAGAAGGAAGAATGTCTTACGCTTTGCACGAATGCAGTAATTTATGGAAGAAATTACAAGAAGAAGAGAAAAATAACCAAAAAATTTTGCCAGAAACTAAACTTTTTATCAAGTTTTTGAAAGAAGAACTGACAACTGATGAATTATCATTCTTCCTACATATAAGATATAGATTATTAGGCATGCTAAAGCTGAAAGACGAAGAAAACGAAATCATCAAAATTCCATTTGGCTCATGTGTTGAATTGCTTGATACAATACTTGGAACACTTAGTCCTGTTAAAGAAGGTGTTGCAAAACAAGCTGAAAGATTGTCTGATAAAGGAATCATCGACATTTGTGATTTCTTAACTGTTTTTGTTGATTTTTACAGGAACCAAAGAATGCAAAGAAGAGAAGCAATCAAAATCATGATCACTTCCAAGAAATTTAATAATGATGTAGAGACATCAATCTCTCTTGAGCTCTTCACATCAATGATGCAAGCACTAGGATTCGCCGGAAGCATTGAAGATTTACTGTCACTATATAAAATTTCCATTTTGTTTGGTGGAGGCGAAATCACTGTTGATGGAGTCATGAGAGCCATGGATAGCTTGGCAATGCACTTCTACTCTATCGATGTACCTGTCGATGTCGATAAGTCAATGGAAAGTACAGAACTTGCAAGGCAAATGGTCACAGAACATTGGATGAAGTTCGGCCAATGGTTTGATGGTCTCAGAAAATCTAATGAAATTGACCCATGGGCTAAATCTATAATGGTCAAAGCTGTACGGAAAGTTGAACAAAGTTTCCAACAGAATATGGCAGCCCCAACAATGTTTCATACTTTGAGAGATCTTTATGATAAGATGCAATTTGTACTTGCAATATTGATTAGAGGCGTTCCTAGACCATTAGATAAAGATACATGTGATAAACAGCTGAAGTTGCTGGAAAATCTCAACACCTTCTTAATGGATACCGCTGTTGAAGCAAAAGTTGCTTAGAAATTTATTAAAGTTTTATTTGTTTGTTATATTAAATACATAATATACTAAAATAGAATATTAGATCGATCATGGAAGGAAAAAAATATTTCTTTGGGTTGAGAATCATAATTTTTATAAACTCGAAAACATGGCAAAATTAAATAACATTTGTTCTTTTCTCTTCAATTTAATAGGGGAATGTTTTGTTGTTCCTTGAGATATTGTGCCATATAAAAGCAATTTTGCTAAAGCAATACCTGCTTCTCCATAAGTCTGACCGACGCCAGTTCCCCTATTTTTTCCTTTATTAAGTATTATAAACTTAGAATATGGCTTTTGATTAATTGTTGGAAATGTAAACACTCTATATCTGCATTCAACGATTTTATCTTTGCCATTTATTTTTTTTTTGTTTGATTGCAAATTTCCATTGGTCTCGGCCAATTGTCACCTATCGGAGATTTAAATGGATTAGGTAGAGAATAAATATTTCTTCTATCAATTAATTCCCAGTTTGAACCATCCCCTTCTCCCCAAATCTCATATTGAGTCATCCAACGAGTGTCACTAATGTACAAAAAGGTATAATTCACTAAGGAAACTCTTGAAGTAAGAAAATCGATAGTTAGAACTGGATCGTTGTCATTTATTGTATCAGATACGTATCTTTCATCAAAAAACTCTTCTGGATCTCTTGCAATACAATCAACTGTAAGCTTATTCTTTTCATTAAATTGACTTTGACTTGTACTCCATACTTTGATAAAGCCATCCTTTGTTAAATTTTTAGAATCAAAATGATTTCTCATTGCTTTAAAAAGATCACTAAAGTTTCTGTGATTAGTAAATTCTCTTGTTGTAGTTTTTATAGGCTTTATATTTGCGTTTGTGGTAGCCGCAAGGATAATTGAAACAATCATATAAGAATTTAATTGAGAAATTATTGAACGGTTTGATACTCAATGAAATGAGATTAGAAATTAACAATTAAAAGTACAATGCCATGTACAGATGGTTATGAGATAAATTTTTTTAAGAAATCTTTGAGTACAGTAAAAACGGTTTAAAACGTTGGAAGCATTATTTGGAATTTTTATTTCTCTTGATATTTTCAAATATAGTCTAGTCATAGACTTTGAAAATTTTAAGAGTTTCTACTTTATTTTACCGCAAAGGATCCATAATTAGTATACCTTTTAAATTTCTTGTTAGAATTTTAGAGTAGCGAATCTATTCAAAAATAATTTATATTTATTTAATCTTTAAAAATTTAATTCAAGAATTTGCAAAACTTCTCAATGAAAATTGTAGCGACTTATCAATTTTGAGGCATCATTGAAAAACTTGTATTGCATATTGAATTATTTCATGATTTCATACAAATATGTTTAATAATGATGTTATTTGAAAATGTCTAGATATATATGTTAAATATTTTGGCATTTTATAAAAATTTTTCGTAATTTGGCCGGAGCTCTGGTTGGGCCAAACTATAAAGAATTTCTATAATTTTTACAAGTCTAATTTCCATGTACGTTAAAAGTTCTGAAAATTAGAAAGTGTCATTCCTTTTAATGATTAGCTAGATTTTGTCGGAGATTTAAAATCTGGCTTGAAAAGTCTAAAAAATGAATTATTTTTATGCTTCCATTTCAAATTTTTTAGAGATATAACTCAAATATTATATAATTTTGCTTATGTTGGTGAAAAATTAACTACAAATATATAAAAAAATGTTTTGATATTTTAAAAAAAATTAATAATTTTTTAAGCTGCTTTCTTCTTCTTCTTTGGTTCAACTTGAGCATCTTTCCATTCTTCGGCCGGACCCTCTACTAAGAAACTTAAAATCTCTGTATCAGTGATAGGGTCTTTAGGCTCTGTTCTTGAAGCTTTAACTCTTTCTGCCTTGTTTACAGCTCTAGCTATTGTAGCTGCAGTGCATCCGTCGCTAGCGAATGCGAGAGCATTTACAGAGATTGAAGGAATCAGTAAGCCTTTCTTTGCTAACCAGTGATTCCAGATTGCCACTCTTGTTGGGAAGTTAGGGAATGGAATTTCGATCTTTCTATCGAACAATTTCATACCTGCAGCAGCAATTTCTTGAGATGCTGTAGCAACTAAGAATATGTTCATTGGTGGCTTCAATTTCTTGAGGTTGCGCTGGAACTGGCTCTTATACTTCTTGCTGCTGTTCGCACGCTTTCTGTTTCCGAACATCAAGTCGATGTCATCTATCAAAATTACAGCAGGAGCTGAAGGTTTTGCGAAAGCAATAACCTGAGTAATTAATTGCTTTGCTGATGGCAATTCCTTGCCAACCAAAACTTCAGGAGACAAATCAATAAACAAAGCACCTAAAGCGTTGATAATCGCATAAGCAAGTGTTGTCTTGCCACATCCCTTTGGTCCTGTAATCAAAAGGCCATTTGGCAATCCAGCCATGTTTCTGTCAGCAGCAAATGGCAAAACTCCTTCAATGATGACGTTGTTTCTAACAGCTGCGTAAGAAGTTGATGGATCTGGGTCACCGTAATCTCCAGGATCTGTTGTGTTGTAGTGGCCAACGAAGTCTTTGAATGTTGTCGTTGGAACGTTCTTGATAATTCCGTAACCAACGAAATCAGCGAGAACTTGTTCAGGTTCTTTTCCACCGAATGGATCTTTGACTTTTCTCTGGCGTTTGTTCCTCTGGCGTGGTGGTCTTGCCTTCTTGCATCTCCTTGCATCTAAGATCTTCAAGTTCTTGAGTTCTCTGATGAGTTTCTCACGTGTCTTCTGGATGAGCTCAGGAACCATCTGTTCCCACATTTCTTTGCGAACAAGGTCGATGGAAATGTCATCAGAAGGAGATGGATCTGCTTCAGGACCCCAAAGTTTCTCGAATTCGCCAAGATTGTCAACAATCTTTTGAACTGAAGGTGAAAGAACACTAACGGGAGCGTCCTTGCCTTTCTTTGTGTTGTCGGGCTTCTTCTCTTCTTTCTTCTTTTCGTCCTTTGGCTGCATCTTCTTCTTCTGTGCTTCAACTAAAGCATCGACATTCTTCTGAACAACTTCGTCAAATCCTGGATCTTCTTCTTCGCCGTTCTCGATTTCTTGTGCAAGTGTAAGGATAACATCGTGCTTAATATCGAGAGGCTTTTTCTGTAGTTTCTTGCGATTGTAGTACTTGGCAGCAAGAGAATCGTATTTGCGGATTTCATCTGTAGCTTTATTGTCTTCGAGCCAACGCTTTGAGATTTTTTCGGCACCTTGGAGCTCGTTCGCATAGATTTTCTGCTTTTCTTTGCGGTCCATCATTGTTTTGATGATTTTCATTTGTAACTCGCGAATGTTTGCTGTTGATTTCATTCCGATGAGTTCTTTTTCTTGCTCACGATATCTGCCGTCTTTGTTACGTGCGCCGTACTTCCACCAGAAACGTTTGATGATGTTGGCGGATTTCTCACGATCAGAGAACCTTGATTGGCGAGCAATCTTAACAGTTTCCTGCTGTACACCACGTTTTATGATTGTTTCGTGGCGAGCGCGGCGTGCTCTCTCTGCACATTGGACAATGAGAACAGCTTCTTCAAGAGGCATTGGCGGTGGCTGCTTCATCTCTTCTGCAATTCTGTATTCTTTGAAATGCTCGACATCCTTTGCAATTGTGCTTTCTCTTGTCTGGAATGTGACTTGAAGATCTTTAACAATACGAGGAATTGGGATTTCAATATCATTTGTAAGGGTTTGTGCCATAATTGCTTGTGAGATATTCTCCCATTTGGAAAGTTTTGGATTGAAACCAACATCTTCGGATGGAGCATCTTTAATTACTTCTAGAAGACGACTTACGACAGCTTGAAGTAACTGATGGATGTTTGTTCTGCGTTGTGTTTGAATTGTTTGATCGTAACACTCTTCAAGTAAAGTATAAATTTCTAAATATTCTGAAATGAGTGTTAAAGATGTTTGTTTATCACTTGTATTAGTATTTTGATCTTGAGCAGCAACAGACTGAAGCCGCTCGTAGGCTTGCATAAGCATGTCGTGAAGAACACGGCTGCTCATTTTATTAAGTTATAGATAACGAATTTTTTAAATTTTTTTGTGTCACTTTTCGAAAAGTATGGAAAGAAATATTGTTTTTTTTTATTAAAAGATTTTATCATATTCATGATGGTACATAAAATATCATGATAATATGCTAAATTATAGTTCAAATGTGATGAGATTTTCCATCATTCTTTTCCAATGGCATCCATTTCCGCTTCCATTATATTTCTTGTATGTGAGAAAACGAATTTATATCTGAAACATCTAAGATCTCTATATCTCTAATTCTTATTTGAAATATTTCATCCAAGAAGCCACTTATTTACAAATGATTTGAATATTTTCATATTTCGTTCATTAGCAATTCAACCTTTTAGGTGATCGATTCTGATTGATATCATGATTGAAAGATCATTATAATTGTTTATAGAAAGATACGAGATGAAGACCATCAACTTCAAATTTGTCTGAATTCTATGCATACTCTAACGCTTAAGACCGATTATAATGATAATTAAGTTGATATTGATCATTTCAACATTAATGAGAAGATTGGACTTAATGGATTAGTAGACAATCAAGATTTTTATATGTCTACGCAGGTTTTAACATAATCTTTCTATTCAACAATATTCGCGGAAAAAGTTTTATTTTAGTATGGAAGCAACTTCTAAAATCTTCACGTCAAATGACCATACTATGATCAAACAACTAGCCAAATATCTTAAAAATAAGCATATAGAGTTTATGTACAAGAATCCTAAAGAGATTGATGACTTTATAGAGACTTATTTGAATTTACTTCTTAAGAAGTCTGGCAGTTTGAAAGACAAAGATTGGGAGTTAGCTTGTTACTTATCATTTATATTTATAATCATTTTCGATGCAAATCCTGATAAAATTCCGACAATAACTTTATTACAAAATTCAGGTCGATTATTTTCCGCTTCATTGATCTTAAAAGTTAAACAAACGATGCTACTTGAAGGATCTCCACATATTATGTCATATCTTGACCAGTATTATCAACAAGCATTAGCAGGCTTCGATAATAGTACATTTTATTCAGCTACACTATGTTTTTATCTTCTACCTGCCTCAAATTTCATAAATCTCGAAATAAAAACGAATAAATTCAACTCAAGAATGAATAATTTTTTCCAAATCGTCTCAAATTTATCAAATACTAAAAACGGCATACATTATTCGAACTTACTTTTTATATCAGAGACCATTTCAAACATATTAAAATCAAAAGTTCAAATTCCACTTGAATATTTACAAGTTTTTAACGTTCTTTTTCGAGAAACAATCAAATGCCCTTCTATTGGATTAGTTCTGTTCTTTTCTAACTGGTTAAACTTCATTAAACAGTTAAATTCCCAAATGCAAAATCAAAATACGCAAAAACTTCCATTTATGGGCTCCATTTTACCACAATCAGAGTCAGTATCGCAATTGTTTAATATTGTTTCGCGTTACAAGTATAATGAACTCATTACTTCGTTTTCATGGACTTATATTTACTTTTATGCCGATTTGGTACTCACAGAAGATCAGTATCATCAGCAATTAAGAGTAATAAACATGATTTCGAGCATACAAAAGCGCGTTAATCGCTCAGAAATTTTTCCTTACATGAATGACGCGATTTCTCGATTTTCAGGAACACTTGCTGAAGCATACAAAAAGAAAGGTCCTGCATGTCATATTTTTACCCTTATTACTTCATTAGAACAAACAATTGAATCGTTATACGCAGAATTAGACGAAATTCAGCCGATTTTCTTAGCAACACCAACTAAAACAACACCGGATGAGAAAGTTTATTTCATTGATCAGATTAGTTCTACAAATTATTACTCAGAATACGATAAAGAATTATATACAGTTGTAAACTACAAAATTTTCACATCTGCAGAGCAGGCTGATGCTTTCCACAAGAAACAGCTTGCAAGAGCTGATGATATCAAGTCAAAATTAAACACAATTGCATTTTATTATTTTCAATTGCGTCCAAAGCTCATGAATCTCTTTTCTTCAGAACTAAAGACAGATTCTCAAAGCAGCCTCTTCCATTACATCGTTAGTTTTGCAGATACATGGGTAAAATTCATGATAATGGCGAGCTACAAATTTATGTGCTTATCTCTCTACAAACCATCAACAGATGAGAACTATACAACATCTAGACCAGAAAGAGTCTATCAGTACGACTTAACCAACATTTTTCAAAAAATTACTTTGGCTTTCCAAGAATTGCCAAGTACTGTATACAAAATGATTGGTTCGACCATTGTATCTCATATTGCGTACTTTTCGAACAAAAGAATGATAACTTTGCCTTTTATTAATATTTTAGATCGTCCCCCACGCGAAAGAGGACCCAACGATCCGCCAGATACATACACAATTATTGCTTATGTTGTGGCTTCAATGATGTCCCTAACTTATGAGACTGTACAGTATTTCAATTCAAGATCGTACTCCAAAGCCCATTTGTTCTATTTGATGACATTGTTGACATTTAGAATTGGCACTCCCAAGGGCAGCGGCATTCCGAATCCATTCTTCGGCTCATTGACCCTTTTTTACTTCAAAGTAATTGTCACTTCCATTTTTTCGAACACAAAATGGATGACAAATCAAGAAACAGCACTTAAAGCAGCCCAAGGATTCATCGATGCAGAGAATAGCATTCATCCGGAACTCCCACAGCGAAAAGGACGCAATTCACGGATGAATTTGCGAATTATCAGTTTCGATGACATAAAATATTCAGCCAAAGAGCAAGCTGCTACTGCATTTCTTGATTATTTCAATGCAGAAGCCGATTCCTCGTCCATTCCCATCTTCATGCCCGCTTTCGAAGCATCTTTGAAGTCATCAAATCCAGAAACAGTCATAAAAGCTGCCAAAATCTGCCACAAATTCATAGTTGGCGAACTCCCCAACTCCTGGGTTGACGAGCAAAGCGACACAAGGCGTGAGTTCTTTGAGTTGTACTTCAAATCTCTCAATGTTTTAGATGAAGAAACAGCGAAAGAAGTAATTGAAGATGCAACAATTTGTACTCCAATGTTTTTGCAGCCTCCAAAACCTGTTTTTGATCATTTCTACAACGCAAGGATTCCTGAACTTGGTTTTAATCTTACGATTATAATGCAAGAACTGTTGAATCACGCTGAAGAGAATGAAGATCATTACAGAAACATCTTTGCTTTCTTGACAAATGTTTTTGATTATATTTTCAATAACATTTCAACGGAAAGACAACATATGCAGCCAATCATGAAATCTGCGATATTCCAGTTATTGCAGTGTTACGCGTTCGACTCAATGCAGTCAACAGTTAATGGCTTCGTCAGCCATTTGAACTCTTTGTTCGCTCCTTCTTTTGCGAAAGGAGATTTCGATTTGTATTTCTTGTGTTTGTTGAGTGTTGTTGGCCAAAATCGTTCTGATATCGCTCAGATAGCTACAGATATTCTTGTTTCTTTCCTTCAAGGTGTCAAACACATAGGAGTATCTGATAGAGTTGTCGACAAAATTGTCGTCAATGTTTTGGCTTATTTTTCACCTCAAACTCACATGTTCTCAATTTTGACTGGTTTGTCACTTTTGAATCGATTTTTCCCTGGTTGTATTTTATTGGATTACGTTCGTAGTTTATTAGTACAACTGACAGACTTACCTGCAAGTGAGACACATTTCTGTCAAGTTCTTAATGAGTTCCTTAAGAATTGGTTGAGTTTGCAAACACAAGAAACTCACAAAGAGTTTGTAATGATGATCTATGACATTGTTTGTCCATTAAGTACAAGTGTAAGGATCATTTTGCACCAAAGAACAGAGAAACTCAATGTTAAGATTCCAATACATTCTTTCGCGGAAATAGACACTAAAGATGATGTTTTGTTTTTCGAAAGAATTACATTGGCAATCGGTTGTGGTGTTGAATTCGATTTCGTATTGAACCAATCAATAGTTAACAGACTTACGGAGATAACTTGTACGAAACCTGAAGGAATAACAATCTTGGAACACATTTCAAGATCATTACAACTTTGTTTGTCTTCGATAAATCACAGAGAAATTATTCATGAATTTTTTCAAATCGAAGTTTTGTTGTCACAATTTTTAAATCACATTTGTAACAGCTTGACATCGCATTACAAACCTGTCCTTTATCTCGCAAAGAAATGTGTCCACAAGATAAAGAGATTGTATGGTCCAGAACTCAGATTTTCTCAACAAATTTACGAATATTGTTGGTCTCCTGAGAAAATTTTCACTCCTTTCGGTCCACAGCCTGAAAGAATCGGTTTCTACAGGAGATTGGCAAAACTCGTACCTGATAAAGCGTCAATAACCATTATTGACATGTTCACGAACGCTATCATTGAGTTTGAGAAGAAATCAAACACTCAAAAACTCAAATTCATGCCTAATTTCATCCAATTCATCAAAATGTTCACTGTCAGAGAGCTGATGTCCATTGATATCATTCACGAGAAGGTTTGCGAAGTCAGACAGAACAGTTCTAATCTCCAACAGATAATAGACGTCTTCATTCGTCTTATTACGAACCCTGACATTCCTTTTTACGCGTTAGCGAAGAAATACGTTGTAAAAATGGTCAGAAACTTTGCAGATGAAGTTGTGCAATACATTTTATTCTCTACGCATGGGAATAATGTTCCTTCGATCTTCTTCTTGATGATACTTATCTTCAATGATGATACATCAATCATCATCAAAGCAATTGAAAGAGTTGTCATGGGTATTGATGATTTGAGTCAGATTTCACCAACAGTTGCGAGATTAGTCAAATTCCTTGTTATTTGTGAATGGTACAACGCATTTGCAGATTCGTTGATGTCAATAAGTATGAAATTATTTAATTATTATTCAGATTTGGTCAAAGACGAGATGAAGCCAGGAAGTCATAGGTATTCGATCTTCTGTGATGTAACAGGAGCACTTGTTTGTTTATTACAGAAAAACTTCGACAAAGAAATCGCAATTAAAATCAGTGAAGCGTTTGAACAGCCAATCTTGATGGATACACTCACATACCATAGATTCATCAATGCTGCATTCGATACACAATCAGATGACTTCAAATTCGACCTTTTCATGGAGATTTTTGAAAAAAGAAATGTTCTGTCACCTTTTGTTGTAAATATTTTCTTGTCTCATTGCATTATCAAGTCTAATCACAAACCAGAAACCCTTAATGCAATGTTGGATAAGATATTATCAATTTACAACGAAGAAAAGCACAGAACTGTTGTTATAAGATGTTTGTATCATTTAGTCAAAATGAATTTGCCAAATGACGAAAAAATCAAGTTCATTTTGTTAAATATTCTCAAGCAAACTATGTCTTCTCCAAACCCAGAGCACGTGATCTACTCAATACGGCTCTCCAATGTTCTTTTGAAGAAGAACAAGTTGCCAACAGTTGTTTACAAATCATTTTTAGTAACTTTGTTGACATTCACGAAATTTTTGGAACCTCCTTATTACAAATATCTTGTTAAACTCGTAAGGAATGGTTCTAAGAATATAGAGAATGATCCAAACGAATACATCTCAGCAATAAGTTACTATTTCATTGACAAAAACATGAATGTTCATGATTTGATCCACATTGGCAATTTTTTGATTCAAAATCCGTTTTTGATTGATTTGCTTCCTTTCTCATTCATTGGCTACTTGAGTGATCAACTCATGCAGAGATTGCAAACAAGGAAACATAAGGAAGACATTATCGAAACGAATGAACTCTTCAATTTCATACAGAAGTTGATACAAATTGTCAAACCGACAAAAGAAGAATTTCAACATTTTGTTGATGTCAGTTTTTCATTTATTTCGATTTTCTCGCAGCAAACAATTAAGAAAGATCCATCAGATAACTTCTATACATTGCTTGCTAACACTGATTACGAGATCAACTTATCACAGTACTTTAATTTGGTTCCACAAGGTCCTTTAACAATGTTTTCTTTTGGTTTCATTTGCATCATGATGAAATACATTTCTGATGCTGATTTGAACAATTTTAGTGACCAAATCGACAGAGTTTTCAAGTATTTGACTGATGAAAAGAACCGTGTCAATACTTTGTTGTTCGAATTGTTCTGCGAACGCGTTTATTCCTTCAAAGAAATCAAAAATTCGACATTAAAATTAAGTCAAATGTGTTTGGACGAACTTTTCACGAAAATGAAACAAGATCAAAGATGTTTGGACTTGTTATGCGATAGATCAATGATATTACTTTGTGGCCTGTTGAAGTACAACTACAATGATGAAAATAGAGAAAGATTACACCAAGTTTATGATTTTGTTTCTCTTTTTGTTCAAAACAAAAATTACCATTCGACAGGAATTTTACTTGTTCGTCATCTGTTGAAATGTATCGAAGTTTCTTATTTTGGAGAACAAACAGAGCTTGTCAGTTTGTTGTTGGATAGAATCTCTTGTTCACAGGACTCTTTGAGGTGTTATTCAGATTTAATTGCTCAAATTTTGAGAAGTCAAAAAATTTCTCCATTGACGAAAGAGTTTTTACTCGAGAAATTACCAATACTTCTCAAAGACCAAGAGCCGAAAGTCATACAGACAGTTATAGACTATATTCCTGATGATTTGAAGTCATTTTCTTTAGATCTCAAATTTAATTTAATTTTGGCAAAACAAAGTTCACCGACATTTAGGATTTCTCTTCTCGATAAGATCAGAAACTCATTGCCAAACTTACCAAACCAATCTATCATTGTCTTATGCAAGAATTTGACTTACGAATATTGGACAGATGAATTTGTTCCTTTGATTATTTCTTTGATCGCCAAAAAAGTGAAATTGTGGCAGCCTTTCTTCGCTTTAAGTTCATATTTCGTGAACATAGGAAGCGAATTAACATATGCTACAATACACCAGATCATTGATAAAGACAATGCCGATTCTTTAAGAGATCTTTATTCCTATTTAGTTTCGAAATGCGAAACAAATAAATTGTCTCAAATGATCAATGGAATTTCAAGAGCTTTCCTTTATTCAAATGAACGACTTCCAAATGAAACTGTTCAGTTCGCGGCATCTATAACAGGAGAGTTTGATACATTGGTTGGTTTCACGAAGCCAGACAACATAAATCTCAATTATTTGATGCCACATCGTCAAAACGACACAATTTTCGGATTATTAAAGCCGAATTTGAGTCTCAGAGAAGCAGCCGCGATGGCATTGACGATGCTTGGCCAATATGACTCTGCATCAACTCTCTACAACGAGACAGAGATCAATCCAATCATTTCTCAAATGAGAGACATCAATTTCCAATTGAATATTTCCCAAGGACCAATAAATATTTTGGATGTCATCAAGCCTTTGATACAAATTGATGTCAAATCTGATATAATTGTTGATTGTCTGTTGAAAGCTTCGAAGTGCGCATTCAAGAACTCTAAAGAAGCAGCAAACGTGCTCATAGAAATTGCTGAAAAAGCTATAATTGAATCTTTCAAGAACCAAGTTTATATTTCTATTTATCAGAAAGAAAGATTCATAACTATTTCGAACATTTTGTTGTTCTTGAAGCAGAAACTCGACAACAAACCAACAATCACGTTCCCAGAAGAGATTGACGTCAACTGCATCAATCCAAGCTTCTTCAGAGTCATTAGATCATTCACAAATATTCTCCAGAAAACAACAAACAAAGAAATGCCATTGGAAAGCCCCGGAGATGCGATTTTCTTTGTTGAAAATGGAATGTCTCGAATGTTTTCAACGATTGTCGGCTACAATTCGCGTGGATTAGTCGCAATCAGTGAAAAACAAGTCACGGAATATTTCGCAATCATTCAGAATCTCGCTGCAACTGAGAAAATTAAAGTGAATGATATGAAACAATTTGCACCATTTGCATTCAATTTCTATGAAGTTTGTCCTTCTCCTGAGATGTATCAAACAGTTTTCTCCGCTTACCAACAGATTTTAATTAGTACTGATCCACTTCCAATGTTTGTTTCCAATTCCGCTGCAGCAAGAATCATAACTTTAATTAGATTTGCTGTTAATTCCAATGATCAGCAATTAATTTCGATTGTTGAATCATTTGCGAATATTTTCTCAACGGAACAAGCTGTTATTTGGTGTGTTTGGTTACAGCAAATTGTTGAATTGTCAAGGGCATCATGGTTCTTCGAAATTGTCTATCATTTGTTCAATGACATGAGTTATAGATCAACTTTGTATGGAGAGAAACTTGGAATTCCTGACTTCAAAGATTTACTTCAAAAGAGATTGATGCATTCTGTTACAACGCAAATTGTTATGATGGATATCTTGGGAGGATTCGTTAATACTTTCCTCCAAATAGATATAAGTGAATACTCCAGAATGAAGAACTTTTTGATCTTGGCAAAAGAACTTTCTAAACTTCCTCCACAAACAATTTCTTCTTTGGATTTGATCGAAATCAGAACAAAGAAACCAATTCCTTTGACATTGTTGGAGAAAGCAATTTTCGCTCTCACAATTAGTGAGCTTTCTAGAATAGATGTACAAACATTCTACAACTTGACAATGAGTGATGATCACAGTCAACTCATTAAATACATCGCGGAAGTCTCCAATTCATCGACTTCTTTGTCTGAATACAATGATAAATTGCAAAAATCATTGGCAGAAGTCAACAAAAACTTGCCATTTATCATTTCTGTTAGATTTGATAACTATCCACATATATCTATTATCAGAATACATGATGACTTTGTTTATATTGATAAGGATATATTTGTTATTCATGCGATGACTTCTGTTTCTCCAAGAATGACTTTCTTGATACAAAGATCATCAAATGAAAATGGTTTTCATCCTTCAATTCTCACTTTGTCGACTATTTTCGTTTTCTTCAAACAGATGATCGAATCTAGTTACCAATCAAGAATTCGAAACATCAGCATGGACGCATCGAATGTTTTCGAAATTGGAAAATCTCTGATGTTGAGTTCTTGTCCAGGAGACATTATTTCGCTTGAAACATTGTTCAGAATGGTTACAGCGAAAACAAAGGAAGAATGGATGGATGAATACACGATAAATGAAGGAAAACTCAACAAAGAAGGAGAGAAATACATCGAAACAATGGAAACAAAATCATTTAAAGAATATATGTTGACAGAAATGGCACAGATGGCTCCATCACAGATCAGATTGAACATTTTGAGGTCTTTTGCATCGATATCGTTGTTGAGAGAGATCTTCCAATCAAAGTATCCAATGCTAGGCCATGTTATTTTCTGTTGCACTGCCGCTGTGATGCCAATTCTTCATGTTGATTTCGATCTTGAAAAAGATGAAAATTCTTCATCATTCAGATTGTCTCCAAACATTGCAACATCAATAGGACCAACAGGACCTGGAGAACTCTCCATTGCATTGTCTGCTTGCGCAAGTGCGTTGGTCGAGAACTTGGAATGTGTTAGATCTTTCGTAGAGGTTTTTGTTGGAGACAGAAATTTGGATGATCATTCTATTGAAGGAATTAAAGAAAGAAAAGATGAAATCATCGAAAGATTGCTTTCTTTCGCGGCTCCAAAGGGAACTAATGTATCACAGGAAGATGCGGAATCTTGGCTTGCTGGAATCGATGAAGTTATTATGAAGGCAAGTTCTCCTGAAAATCAACCAATTGAAGCAATTCCTTGGTTCTAATTTTTTTATTTATTTTATAGATATTATTTTGTTTATTTTATAATTGTTTTATATATAAAGATGTTTATTTTCAATACAATTCTTGAATTTATTTTTTCATTGAATTTTTCACTTGGAATTTTAATTAGTTTAAAAAAGTAAACAAACTATATTTTACACATATAATCTATTTTATATAGAAGTAATCCTACTTGGAATTTTGATCCCAACAAGCTATAACCTATATAATCTACTTCATTTTTGTCAATGAAAATTATCTTTTATTATACTATAGGCAATCAACAAATGATTATAAGAATAAATATTAAACAAGCATGTCAGAAAGTGGTAAGTACACACTAAAAACTGCTTTAAACATAATTTTTAGAAAGTTTTCACATGATCTCACTCTGAAATGACCACATATTTTAGAAATTTTTTGACATTATCTTTTGCGAAATACATTAATGATCTCCCTTTATTATCCTTTGCTTCTTTATCAGCTCCAATAGAGATAAGATATTGAACAACTTCAAGATGACCTTTTTCTGATGACCGAAGGAGTGGAGTATATCCATCATTATCCTTTGCTTCTTTATCAGCTCCAATAGAGATAAGATATTGAACAATTTCGAGATGACCTTCTATTGATGCATACATGAGTGGAGTATATCCATCATTATCCTTTGCTTCTTTATCAGCTCCAATAGAGATAAGATATTGAACAACTTCAAGATGACCTTTTTCTGATGACCGAAGGAGTGGAGTATATCCATCATTATCCTTTGCTTCTTTATCAGCTCCAATAGAGATAAGATATTCGACAATTTCGAGATGACCTTTTTCTGATGCATAAATGAGCGGAGTGTTTCCATAATTATCTTTTGCTTCTTTATCGGCTCCAGCTGAGATAAGATATTTAGCAACTTCAAGATGACCATAAAATGATGCAAAAATGAGTGGATTCCATCCACTATTACTCGTTGCTTCTTTATTAGCTCCAACAGATATAAGATATTTGACAATTTCAAGATGACCAGTTCTGAAGCCAAGATAAGCGGAGTATAATTCTTTTGACTCTTTGATTCTTTATCGCAGCCACATTCAATCAAAGATTTCACAAGTCTAAGATTTCCTTTTTCACTTGCTACATGAAGGACATTCTTTTCGTTGTTTGAACATGAATTTTTCTTTTTCCAAAGTTCTTCTTCGCACGATTTTGAAATCATTTTCTCATTTCCTTGAGATGAAAGCTCATCAAAGAATTTGTAGACACGTTTAAAATCATTACAATTCTTAAGTTCTAAAATTTTTGTTAGAATTTCTTTATCATTACTGTTTTCATAATTAATCTGATTAGCCTTTGTTTCTCTGCCACGAAGTTCTCTCTTTAACCTTGTATTATTCTCATTAATTTGATTTAATTGAGAATTTGGTGACTCGAGTTCTTTGTCACTTTTTTGATCTTGAATTTTATTTAATTATATTTGAAGGTTTTGTATTTTTATGTCTGAATCAGATATATCTTTTTGAAATTGAATTAAAAAATCAACAACGCCACCAAGGATTCCAAGTTTCATGTATTTATTGAGTGATTTCAAAATTGAAACGACTTCTTCATAATTTTGTATAGAAACATTTGCTTTTCGAGTGGAAGTATATAATTCGTTTGCATTAATTTCAGATTGAGATTGAATCATAAGGGTAATGAAGTCATTTGTTGTTAGAGTTGTAAATTTCATGATTTTTTTGATGTCTTGTATCTCGAAAGTAGAAAACAACTTGTTTTCATCAATATAATCTTTAATGTGTGCAGCAATGTATTCAAAGTTCTGAATAAGTTGACTCATTAATTTGTCGTAACTTTACAAAAGTCAGAAAAATTTTGAACTTGATTAAAATTGATATTTTTCGACTTCGGTAATTCACCGCTATCAATACAAAACATACGGACATAAAATTAAAATTCATTTTACAATTTTGACAAGATTTTTTTGCCAATCACTCCAAATCACTTGATTTTATGGATATATATCAAGTATCACGCATAATTAATAATAATATTTTTTATTTTCAAAAAGGTACTTTTAATGGGCCAAAAATTGAAATTTTTTAATTTCTTTAGTTTCTAGCCAGAATCAATATAGAGTTCATATGCAAAAAAGTGAAACTACTATGGTGTGGAAAAAATATCAAAGTTCCCCACTTAAACACTATATATAAAATTTCTACGATTTCCCTCATATAAGTACTTCTACACTTAATATGATCAGGTTTTTCGATTTGCTCTTAGTATGGGAGCCCTTCTGTTTATATTATAAAGGTCCAGGTGAACAAATTTTGTGATCTATAAAGGGGAATACTTGATCGTATTCATCATAAATATTCTAATCATATTCGCTAGTCCGCATGGATACAGATCGCTATAGTGTTAATTCTGATGAATCTTTACTTCCTTTTTCTAGGTTATGGAAGTTAAATGGATATGTTTTCATTCAAATACAATGTGCACATATATAAATTTTAGGCAAAATGTGAATATTTAACAATTTTCATATATAAATGTTGAAAGTAACTGCATAAATATGTATGAAATTCATATATTTCATTGAACCATTACTCCCTATAACACTCTAATGATCCGAAACTTATAATTTGATTGTCTCTAACGTTATCCAAGTAAATTTGTTAGAATTTCCCATCATTCAATTTTGCAAACATCTAAAACAGCTATAACATAAATTTGAAACTATAAAAATTTCTGATACATCTGAAACTTCGAATTTCGATATCGTCAAACCGCTTTTCTTACATTGATTTTCTATTCAATTTTTCACTCACTACTTTTAAGGCTTCGTAATGGATGATCCTAAATCACAAGCTGAAGATACGCCACAGATTGTAATACCTAAGTGGGTTCTTTATGTATATACTGGCTTTGTTGTCATTACAGTCATTATTACGTATCTTACATCCCTTTTCATGGTTTATTGCGTTTTATCAGATATTATTTTCCAAATTACACTTTTTTTCGTTCGTATCACAGCCCTCTTTGAAGAAACTACGTTAATCAACGTTGACAATACACATGAAACTTTGTATAATCAACTCAGGCTTGTCGTTCAGATATGCTGGTGCTTATACTCGTTTTCAATTGTAGCCCTTATTGTCCACCTTATCCTTAGACTGTTATCTTCCTTCTTTAAGACGATGTGGGTTTCCCTCAGCCAAGATAACGTTCAAAAGACGATTACGAGCATTTTCAAAAACCCTCTTGTCAACAAGCGAAAAGCTTGGGTATTCCATATCGGATTCGTTGTCTACTTCGTTCTTATGCTTATTTGCATTGCCGTCGAATACCTTACGATGAAGCAAATTATTTACGCTGCCAGCTTCATTATTATTTTCTTCTGGCCAATTCTTTCCGGAATCTTCACTCTGTTCAACGATTCATGGAGAGTACTCATTGCAAGGTTACGCGGCAGATACTCCAAGTACACCTTCGAGCCATCAAAGCCCAATCCAAATCCAGCCTTCCCAATGGACCTCATCGATCCAGCTCGACTCAGAGATCAAGTTGAATTTACTAACTTCATCATTGATGACCGTACAAACGTTTATCTTACAGAAGGACACTACGCCAAGAAGATTTTCAGTCTACTTCACGTTGTCGCCCTATTCATTAGCATATGCATCAGAATTTATTTGATGTCACGTCCTGATCTTGACTATAAATGGTCCGGACTCATAATTATAGCTTTCTACATTTACGGCATTCCATTTATTATGTTCTGCAACATCTTTTCCACCTTCTTACCAAAAGATGCATTCACTGATGAAACTCTTGATGTCAGTTTATCTGGATCAGCTAAGAAATCATTTGACAAAGGCAACATCCAACTCATGTTCTATATTTCAATGCTTTTGTACGTTGTCATTTTCATTGCTTTGATTGTTTTGAGTGTTTTCATTTTAATATGGGAGAGACCAGAAGAAAAGTACAAATATAAGTTCTTCACAAACTCATCATTGATGAAAGCACGTTGGACAATTGTTCCTCCAACAACTTCAACATGTTCTATTGATATCAAAGGTATGACATTCTCTCAATTGTCAGCCCTTCCAATGTTATCCTATTTCACAACAAAAGACAAGAAGAATCTAAGTACTGAAGATAGGGATATATATGAACACAACAAGAATGTAATTTTGAATATAGCTTTTGCAAGTTTGAGAGAAAGAAAAGTGACAGAATATCATGATGATCAACTCGCTGATGGTATTCATATTCGTGATCAAAAATTACACATCTTTGTTATTCATGGTATGAGATCTGCTATTGATTGGGTTCTTCTATTCGAGCAGCTTATCCAAGATAAGTTTGCAATGATTGTTTCAGGATTAATTCCATTTTATAGCATTGCTGCTTCCTTATTTAGAGTTCCTTTGATTTGGGCTGGTAAGTTATTTGCTGAAGCAACAGGTTGTCAATTCCTTTCAGTTGAAAAAGCTCATCGTATTGAGCAACAAATCATTAACAATGCCATTCCTAAAGCAGATAAATGGCATGAATATACAAATGTTGCTGTTGGTCATTTGACAGGTGGATACTTCGCCAAATACTTGGGATCTTTCAACCAAGGAAGTGACAGAAATGGTACTCGTTCTGCTTGTCCATTTTACTTGAAGGCAGTTAATGTTTCCGCCAGGCCAAACATCACTGCTATCGGTTTCGATGCACTGCCTTACACAGAATTTCAATTGGAAATTAACCAGACATTAGATCCAAAGACAGGTATGTCTGTTAATGTTCACTCAGCCGATTTCTTCTGGGGACATTCTGAGGCAAAGATCAAGACTAATTTCCAGAGGAATAAATACACAACAAAGATTCCAGATGCCCTTCATAACTTCTGCCATTCTGTTGCTATGTGTTCAAATAACAGATTCGAAATCGACTTCTGTTGGACACAGTTAGGAAACACTACATGGAACTTAATATTAAATTCTTATGGTAGATATATGGAAGAAAGCAAGAATGTTACAATATCTGCCTTCACCAACAAAGATACTGATTTGGTGCCTTGAAGTTTTTATTTTGGATCATTAAGTTTTTTTAAGTATTTTTTTATAAAATTAAATCACGTTTACAACTTCTTATTTTTTATTTATTTCAATTCCAAAAAATAATATGAGTGAAGTCTTACATCAAAAAAAATTGATATTTCGAACATTTTCTATATACATGCATAATGTAACATAAAAAAGAAGTTTCCTTTAAATGCTTCGAACAAAATTGAAGTTTTACAACATTAAAATAAGATATCAATTTCATATAAAAATTTTATTAACCATTTTTAATTATTCTGGGACTTACTTTATATCTAATTTTCTAATATTAGAAAATGTAACTAAGCTTCGGGGAATCATTTGATAATAAATTTGATAATAATTTTTTCTTTTATGCAATATATTTAATTATATAGGGGTTAGCCGATTATCTGATGTTAGTTTAGATTGTAAGATCGAGGATATAGCAATATCATAACTACCAAACCAATCGAGATAATATTTAATCATCTCATCACTCATATCAATTTTATAGTTTGATAACATCTTTTTAACTTGATCTATCTCCCATTCATTTGGTTTCTCAACTTGATTTTCTGAAATTGATTTTGGAAATTGAGAAAATTCGCTATCTGTTAAGTCTACAACCTTTCGTGTTTTGTTATCATTCTCATAGCTTTCTTTTGCCTTGCGTAAAATGTAATCAATTATCTCATTTGTGCTATGCTTTAATATGCTTGATGGCAATTGTATTTTTAAATTTAGATACTCTGATAACATTTTTGGTGGTATTTTATTCTTTTCCATAATATCTCGAATCTCGATAAATCTTTGAGTATAAATAAGATGTTTGATGTCATTTTTAAGAAAATCATCAATATTAACAACTGCATTATCTGATTTGCATTCTATTTTGAACTTACTGTAATCTATCTCAATATTGTAACCCATTTTTCTTGCATTCCGCAACACTTTTAGGAAGAAATCTCTGTATGAAATAGCTTCACTTGGCTTCCGGACGTTGAAGTCAAGACTATTATTGTTTATATCCACAAATTGGAATGAAAACACCATTTCACAAATGAGTAAAAATTCCAGCCTACGGGAAAATTTTTATGTATTCAAATTTTGAGACGAATTATCGCTCGAGCAATTTACCAAAAATCATCAAAAATTAAGTTTGTAAGCATTCCAAATTTCATATTTTTGATATATTAATATTCCCTAAATTTTCAGATTTTAATATTGAGAGGCAAAAAAAAAATTGAAAAATGGGAGAAACATTACCACCCTCAATTTTCGATACAAATTTAAGCATGTCACATTGGGCAATTTTGTTGCATTTTGGAAATTTAAGTTCAAATTTAGAATTCAATCAAAAAGTGAATTACCCAGATTTCCCATAGTTTTTCCTCACCCCCTATAATTTGTGGGGAAAACGATTATTTAAAAAAATTATGGACCCTAGCACCGAGAGCCTATCTTAATGCTAGTTGTTTCGGGATATTTCCAGTAGGAAACTATCTCAGAATAAAATGAGGTTTATTGTGCTTTGAAGCATTTCCTTATAGCACAAAATTTAATCTTCAAAAATACAAATAATCAGATATTTGCATTTGATTCAAGGCAATGTTCATCTTTTAAACGATTAATATCCTGCAATATAAGCATATTACGACAAAAAAATTATAACTCATCGTACTTCTTTCAAATTTGCAAATAATATCTTTCTTCAAAAGCTTTATTTTTATTTAGAACTATCGAATTCACAAATTACGAACACTAAAAAGCTTATACTCAAATTGGCAAGGACCAGCTTGCTTATAACTACCAAATTATCGATTTTGAAATCTTATTTTTTCGATCGATAATAAATATCTAAGATCTTTACTATTACAGTTGTTATAGGGAAGGTATAAGCTTCTATTTAAGAAAGACTTTATTTTCCAAGAAGATTTATTATGATTTATTTTTTTAATCTCTATTGTTTTCTTTATTTATTAGACTAAATATTATTTGTTTATTAACTTTTAGAAGTTTTTATTATATTTTTAAGGATGAAAAAGCTATTTATTAAAATTCGAAATTATCATTTGATATGAATACGCGTTCTGGAAGCATAAATATAGAATTCTAAAAATGTAATGTGAACAAAATCTGTTGTGATATGAGATTGCTTTAGATCAGCAAAAAATACAAATGATTTAGAAGAATTCTTTATTCGAAATAAAAAGGGCATGTAACTAGCAAAAGAATCGTTCAAGACAGAATAGTAATAGCTGTACTTATCTTAAAAACGACATTGAATCATTTTTCAAGTTCTCATAATACTAGGGAAATTAGAAGGGAAAAAAAGCAAAAAATTTTTATAATCTTAAGTCGAACCTGCATAGCTAACTTTTAGAATGCTATGCTTATTCGACTATACCATATAAATTCTCGGTTAGAGTGCTTATTTGGAGCCATTTGATAATTCCCAGACAACCCCTGCATTTTTGAGTGGAAAAACTATGGGAAATCTGGGTAATTAATATTAAAAACTATTATTATAGCTAATTGTGCTCAAAATCACTAAAATTTATCATGAAATTAGTCAAAATTATGATAACTAATCATCATTTTGAAATTTGTTTTTATTTGAGATAACTCTAATTTTTCTTTAATAGTATCCATATAAACATGTTTATTGGCATTGTGACTAATACATTCACCAATATACGCTATAAAACTCTTAATCAAATTAAAGATTTTAACTAAATATCTTGATATTATAAATAATCCTGACTATATCCGAAGTTTTCATGATTATTACATGTAGGCAAAACTTAAGAATGTCCATTTGAGAGTATGACGGTGCTCTCAATTATGAAAGCTTCGTTATCATACAATATCGCGATGAATATTGAATTAAAATTGATTTTGCCCATATATATATCCTTAAGTTCTACTAAAAAGGATTTTTTAGAATCCCTGACTTTTGTCTCGCAGTTTAGAAAACTGAGACTTAATACTTTAGTGTCAAAAAATTGAGAGAATGTCAGAAAAGTGTCAATTACACTATTTCAAATTCTATGAAATTCTATGAAAATTAAAAAAAAACAAATATGATTTCTTTATTTCTAAAACAATATTTACAATTCTTTAAGTGCCGCTACAATGCCATTGATTGTTGGTGCAATCTGAGAACCCTTAAGAATTAAATGGAGAGGAATAACAGATTCTTTCTCCAAATTTCCTTTTGTTGCTTCATCTTCTGTTTCTTGTTTAACTTCAACATTATTATATGCAGAATATACTTGTTGTGCATCATAATATCCAGCATCATTTGCTGCACTAAGGTCCTTCAAAGCCATTTCTTTATCCTTACGAAGCAAATCCAATAAAAACAATCCGAAATGTCCAGAATTTTCTTTCTTTTCAATGGCTTTTTCGAATTGTTTCTTGGCTGCTTCGATGTTCTTAGGTGCTCCTTCTCCTATGACATGCATTGCACCTAAAACGCAGAATGACCTTGGATAGCCCATTTGCGCTGAAGCCAAAATGTTTTTGTATGCTTCTGTCATGTTTTTATCGTCAACTTTTCCGTTTATGACTAAATAACTGTATCTGTACATGGCGGGAGGGTATTTCTGGACGGCGGCTGCTTTATAGCATTTAAGAGATTCGTTGCAATTGAGAGTTGTCCCTTCTCCTGTCTCATGTAACAATCCTAATCTGTATTGAGCGGGAGAAGAGTTTTGTTGAGCGGCCATTTTGAAGTATTTGGCTGCTTCAGTCGTATTCTTAGCTACTCCGTTTCCTTTGTACAACATTTGCGCATAAGAATTTTGTGCATTCTTAAATCCTTTATCTGCGGCCATCTTGAAGTATTTAGCGGCCAAATCAATATCTTTGGTAATGCCTGCACCGTTTTCAAGTGCGTAAGCGTAGTTGTTCATGCCTTCAATGCAATCATTTTCAGCAGATTGTTGGAAGTAACGAGCAGCAGCCGCGATATTCTTTCTAACGCCTTTGCCATTAAGTAGCATGACTCCGTAATTGTTCTGTGCGCCTGAATCTCCACCAGCTGCAGCAATCATTGCATTTCTTGCCTTTCCAATATCATTCGTGAGGTTCTTGACCTTCTCTCTGAATTTTTCAAGCTCAGAAATGTTGATATTTGGTATTGCTCCAACTGATTCTTCAAATAATCTGACAACATTTGCCATTGTAGGGCGTCCGTTGGGATCTGGGGCCCAGCAGAACTGTATGATCTTCTTTATCTCATTTGGTACATCGTTAGCGATCTTTGGTCGAGTTGCTGAGTGAATCTTTTCGTAAATTCCTGGAGAATTTTCTACTTGCTCGTAAAACGTTTTACCACAGAAAATATGGAAGACAAGCATTCCAAATGCGTATACGTCTGCTTTAAGAGTTTTATCTGATTGTAGATTTAATTCTGGAGCTCTCCACAAAAGTTGCTTCTTTGGAGCGATCAGCGCGAGAGAATCTTCATCGAAGAAGTTATTAAGTGAGAAATTGGCAATGTATGGCCATAATTCGTCTCCGAAAACGATACTATCTGCATTAAGATTTCCGTGAATGAAATTGTAAGAGTGCATGTAGTTTAAACCAAGAGCTATGCCAAATGCTGTAATAATTTTCGATGTTAAGTTCCAATTTTCAGGGGCGACTTTGTTTGCTTCCATTTCTAGAATTCCTGAGAGAGACATTCCAGAATAGCTATCGAAAGCAACACAAGGTCTTCTTCCACTATGTGGATTTGACACAGAAAATCCAGCAAATGGAAGAATTGTTGGATGAAAAGATAAAGAAAGATTTTGTACTTCTTCGAAGAAAGCTATTGAATTAAGCATTTGTCCCATGTCTAAGTATATTGTTTTGACAAGGTATTCCGTGTTATTATCATTCTCATCTCGCATTTTTGTTACATTTCCTAATGGATTTTCATAAATCACTTCTAATGGGCGAAATGTTTCAACTGGGACTAAATAGTTATATAATGGTGTATCCATTTGGGAAGCTGGATTTTCAGCAACTGATAATTCAATTCCCATATTGCGAAATCTTTGTAAATTATTTTTGACACGTAAATTTATAAAATTTACATGACTAAAATTGATTAAATTGAAAGAGTAGCCAAAAATAGTTAGAAATGGTAAGTATTCAGCCTTTCAAGTTCGAAGATTTATGGGAAGTCAATAGGATAAATATCGATGACTGGACAGAGACATTCAGCACATCATTTTATTTATACTATATGAATAAAGCTCCTTCAATGAACTGGATGATATCAAATAATTCAGAAGAAAAAGTCGGATACATTATTGGTTCAATCAAACGTCATGATAACGTATGTCGTACACACGTTATTGCAGTGACGGTCGCTGAAGATGCTCGAAGATTAGGACTTGCAACTTCATTGATGAACATTGTTGAGACAACATGTGAAAATCAGTATAAAGGTTTGTGTGTTGGATTGTATGTTAGACCTACAAACTATAATGCTCACGAACTTTATAAGAAGATGGGATACATCTTATACAGACGAATTATTAAATACTACGAAACTATCGGAGAAGATGGTTGGGATATGCGCAAGTCGCTTAAATGGGATAAAGACAAAGTTTTCATGAAGCCAATAGAAAATCCTGTGACAAGCGAAGAAGCAGAGTCTGATGATGACGATGATTAATAAAGTACTTTCAAATTGTATGATAAAAATTACATAATATTACTTTTTTAAAAAAATTAATTTTCCATCCGTTCAATACAATACAAAGATTATGAGTTTGATGCGATATATTACCTATAAATCAAAATATCAGCTTCTTGACCAGTTTTTATATCAATACTTTATTAACATGTAATAATTTCGGCAAAATATCATTCATATAGCTTAAAAATATCTCAAAACTTTTTGTATGTGTATCCAGGAATACCAACAATCTATAAAGACAATATGGAATTTCGCACATATAAATTTTGATAAACTTACGCAAACAAATGCAATTAAGAAATATTGGAAGAAATTCAGAGCGAACTAATATTGACTTGTTTGGAAATGAACGCTATAAAGAAAATGAATATCCATACTCAAGTATTTTGCTATTCTTTAATTTACACTAACAAGGTAACCCAATATAAAATGGTTTCAAGTCTGTGAAAATGTGATAAAAATGATGAAATTTTGAGTAAATTTTGATAAAAATGATGAACGAATATAAAAATAATAGTTTACATCATAGCTAAAATATATTAGTATTCACATTCTTTGAGGAAAGAATTAAAATTGTGGACATTTGTTCCACCAACAATTACATCGAATCCACGACCAGAAGCAGCATAAGCAACCTTAGCCTCAGTATAAGTAGCGCCTCCTACGAAGAAGACAATGACTTTGGCGAATCTTCTGTTTGATGAATCGCGACAAAACGGGAATTCTTCAGTAGAAAGGCTTCCATCACGGCAACATTTAATAATCTGTTCAAGTGGGCATCTGTATCTCATTAAACCGGAATCTTCGTTTGTCATTTGGCCAATTAAGCCTCCAAACTTAGAAAAGATCTGGCCAACGACAGAAAGATCGCGGTTGGAATATTTTTCACCAGCCATCTGTGTAATATTGTCCATATTATGAAGAATTTCGTCTCCACGAGGATATGAAGATAATCTTTGGCGAAGTTGATTGATATTCTCCTTCAGATGTTCAAATTTGAGGGCGTAGATGACGCAAAGTCTGTTAACGGAGTTGAAAGAACCTTTATCCATTTCATCAAAAATTTGTTGCAGAGCTTTTGAATTGTTATCAACAGCCATGTCTAATTCGATGTTTCCGGTACGAGAAATGACAGAATCGGATGTCAAACTTGAATTGGCTGCTGATAATAATGAAACATGCTTTGCGTAAGTTTCCTGACGATCCTTTGCATCAGGATATGTCTGTATAAACGATTTAAGATCATCGAAGTCTTTGATGTTGCTTGGTTTCGGAGAAGATTTGATTTCTTTTGACATATTCATCAATTCATTGTTGACATCAGGGAAACTAGAGAACATATACTTGGCGAAGAACTTATCTGTTCGCTCATCAATGACCAATTGCTTACCGTCAGCCATGATAACGTTATTATCAATGGTTAAAGCGTCATGGAGTAATTCTACGTATCCCCATTGGTGAAGTAAAGGTGTAATTGCATCGGTTCTACGATCTAATATAAGTAGCAATGCACTATCGCTTGAATAAAAATATTCTTGACGTTTTTCCATCAAAGAAATGAGTCTTTCTGATGCACGCCTGCAGATTGAGCTTTTTCCATCGTATCTAATCGTACATTTAAGCTTTAAAGCGCCGAGCATTGAAAATAATCTGTCAACAATTGTTTGAAACTTCGGATCTTCAATATTGTTTTTAAGAGAGTTTAGACAATATGGAATTCCTAAAGAGAACAATCTGCTTGTCAATGCGTATGTATCAAGAAAGATCTCGTGAACAACGCTGACTTTACTGGAATGATCGGCAAAGGCAAGTTGAGTAACAAACGCTTGATTTAGAACATTTGTAAAGAATAAATAATAGCTTCCGTAGTGCGGAGTATTCAATTCATTTGATAAATCGCGAATAACTTCATGTGTTGGCCTTAAAATGCAAACGCATTGAATAGTTGTAAGTGCTTCATCTACGTTTTTATTAATAACTTTCGAAATAGTATCGATTAAAACAACATCATGCTGTAATAACTCGGTTTTTGAGTATATAAGGCCAATTATTTTAGTAGTTTCATCATCAAGAACAAGAATTTTAGGTCCTTCAACATTTGGCAATATAGAATCAATGTATGCGCGAAGAGATTCTACTGCATTCATTTTCCTTAATTTTCTGTTGAAAATAATCGGTCGGAATTATGAGCAAATTTTATTTCTTTTTGCTTTTTTCTATTACATAATACTTAATTTGAACTTATAAATTCACGTTTTATTGTTGATATGCTCCAATTTGAGATTCGCAAAGGAAATGCTTGTGTTCACACTTTGTGAACAATAATATATAATTGCATTTATTCTGTCACCCTTATATAACTATTTGGAGGAATCCCATTGATATTTGCACTATGTAATATAAAAAATTCAAAGTAGTAGGATATGACGGGTTTAGTGACTTTTTTTGTTACATCTATATATAGACGATGCATTAAAATATATTTATTTATAAATCATTAAAAAAATTAACATTAATTTTAAAATAATTTATTTTTTATCTTTTATAAAATAATCTATATATATATAGATGATGTCAGATATTCCACGATTAATTAAACATTGTTTAAATCCTGAATGGGTTAAACTTCAATTTAAAAATGAAGATTGTGAATTATTAAATGAATATGAAAGCCAAAATAAGCTAATGAGGTATAAATATAATGATAAAGAATATTTAATTTCATGGAATCAATGGAGTCATAATCAAAGACCTCATAAACAAGAAGAAGAAATTGAAAATAATGAAATGGAAATCATTGATGACATTAAAGAGGATGGAATTCATATAAAAATAAGAAGTCTGTTTGACCTTAAGAATGATTTATATATAAAAATAAAATAAACTTCTTACGAAAAATTAAAACTTAGTTATGTTTATTATTTTATTTTTTATTTTGTATGAAATGAGTGTCAAGACTAACAACGTTAAAAAATTAGGATTCACAAACGAGGAAATAAAGGATATATTAGAGGAGGTAGGTTATGAAGTTAATAAATATTATTTAAGAAATTGTAAAAAATTCGCGGAGTTATTAAATGATTTAGATTATGATGGAAAAATGAATAAAGATGATATTATAAATTTCTTATATCCTACATCTGAAGAAGAAAAACCTAAAGAACCTGATGTTTTCCCTGAATATTATGAAGAACGGATTAAAGATGATGAATACAATGAAATTGAAAGACTGAAAAAAATAAGAGATGAAATAGATGAAAAAATTAAGGAATTAAGAGAAGTTGAAAAATATAATGAAAATGAAGTAGAGGGTTTAATGAATATCCCAGCTTCAGAATCAGAAGTACAGAAATCTCATGAAGAAAGATATAAAAATTATGTCTCAGAATCAACACAAAATTTATTAGATGGTGAAATAGACGAAACACTTTCAGAAGAAGGTACTAAATTTATTCGTAAACATAAGTTACAATTTATTGATAATGAAGAATACCCTTGTATCTTACTTTTACCCCCTCTCGATTCTGAGAAATTCAAAAAAGCTCTTAAAAACGTGACATATGCAACTAATACGATTAAGAAAGAAGATCATGATATTTACACAAATTATTATTTAAATAAATGCACAGGTGTTGATAAAGTTTTTGATTTATTAGATAAAATATCAAAAGAAACCATTGGAACCTATAAAATTTTGTGTGATTGTGGTTTCATTATTGAAGATACCAATAATGTTTCATATGAAAGAACAGCACCGAAGGAAGACGAAGTTGAAAGGTCTATACCATTCGTTATTAAGAACATAAAAGATATGAAAACTTATAAACATTATATTTATTCATTTATTTCAGAAAAAATGGAAGCAACCCATAAAACATCTTCTCATCATTTTATAGCTATTCATACATTCCTTTTCAAAGTTGTGAAATTAAATAAGACAGGAATTAGATTTAATGTATCAGGGTACGCATTCTTGAGTAAATTAAAATGTATTCGTCACGTCGCAGATGATAAAAATTTATGTGTCCTTAATTCATTTTACGGACTTTAAAAATAAACTTTATTTTTATTTATTTATTAATTTTTTATTCTTACATAAATGAACAAAAACGGAACAGCTAAAATGAATGATAATCAAATTAGAGCAGAAGGTAGAAGGTTATTTAAACGCTTCTATAACATTCCTGATGGTGTTAATCCTAAAACTCGTAGAAGCTATTTAAATGAAGCAATAGATGCATATGAAGGGTTTGACATTTCATCAGAAAGTGAGAGATTAGCGAGAATGTTAAATGTTAATATTGATTTCTATTATTGTGATCCTCAACCAGAAGACGTGGACATAAATAAGGTAGACTTTCCATTAGTGGAATCAATAATGATAGATCCAGAATTTGAAACAGTAAATATTTTATTAACACAGAGTCCATGTGGAAAACTTCACGCTGACAGAATAACAGACGTTGAAGCACTCACCGGCTATAAAGTTTGTCCATATTGTAAAGAAGAAGTTTATTCTATCCGTGATGATCCAGAAAGGAAAAACCAAAGAAGATTTTTAAAACATTGTGAGAAATGTAAAGAAAATAATGGGAGATTAATTCAAGACGTTCAGTTGCAAAAGACACAGCAACCATATGCACCACATATTACGAAACAGAAGATATATCAGTGGTTATTAGCTCACAATTTGCAGAAATATTATAAACCGACAAGATATTATATTACTTTTGACTTTGAAACATTAGAGACTAAAGAAGAATTACAACTTTCTGAGTGTGCAACTTTGAATGCTTACTTAAAACCATTCATGGTATCATCAACGGTTAAATTAAATGATAAAACGTATACGAGGAATTTTTGCTTAACTTCGAGTGATTCTTTTATTTCTGATTGGATTGAGTTTTTATTTTCAACCTGTTCATTAGTTGCTAAATCAAATATTGAACAATATGAAGAATTATTGAAGCCGCAAACGGCGGGGACTTTGTCCCATACATTAAATGAAAAACAGAAGGAAGCATTTAAAGAACTTCTAGATGAGGAATTCAATAAAGTGAATATCATAGGTTTTAATTCGGGAAAGTTTGATTTAAATTTAATTCTTCGTGATTTAAACACTGCAAAATGGAAAATAAAATCAATGCTGGGTTCTTCTTCTCAATTTAAGCAAGTCATTGTAAAGAAAACAAACGCTCCATATGAATTGAGATTTATTGACATCAGAAATTATATAGCGGGTGGGACATTAGACCAATTCACTCGAGATTTCGGAAACAATAAATCACGTGTTAAATCCTTTTTCCCTTATCAATTCATCACGTGGGAAAATTACGAAGAAGAATTACATAAAGTGGAACCATTCACTCAAGATTAATTTTATTCAGCATTAACTCAAGAAACTATATCAGATAGTGATTATCAAATATATCTCAATGATGCTAAAAACTTTAAGAATAGATTAGAATATTTTATTCATTATTGCAATAAAGATGTTGAAATTATGATTGACCCAATCGATAAAATTATTGAAGAAACATTTGTTTATAAGATTGATATGCTTCATAATCTTTCTTTATCATCGAATGCTTCAATGATTCGTTACGCTTTAGCATATAAAGACTTTAATCCTAATGAAAAATATCTTGAGGAAGAGATAGAATCAAGTTTTGAATTAACGAAAAAGTATTGGAAATATAAAATTGAATCATATAAGAAACAAGATGAAAAAGCAGAAAGAGATACTAAAAATAATGTTTCAATGGATGATTTTCAATACTATCACGATTTAATCCTTTCATCTAAATGCAAAATGTGTGGTAAAGCGTTTACATATGCAAATAAACCAACATTGGATAGAATCGATAATGAAAAACCACATACTAAAGAAAATTGTCAGTTAATGTGTTGTTATTGCAATGTCGTAAAATCAAATAAAGATGAAGACATTCAACGTTTAAGAATCAATTTAAGAAATCATGCATTAAAAAATAATTTACCAATGACTTTAGATTCAGTTGAAGCTTATCACATTCTCCGTAATGGAATTACTGGTGGTCTATCAAATGTTCAACATAGAGTAAATCTTAAAGGAATCACGCACATTAATAAACTTTCATATAATCCAGAAACTAAAACTGTATCAAATGAGGACACTTCCAACATCATGACTCATTTCGTTGGTGTTGATTTTAATTCATTATATCCTTCATCATTTTCATCTAATCCTCATGATTTCATTCAATATACTGACCATAAAATGTATATGCCGGGAAGATTGAATGGTGTTATCATTTGTGATACAGCAACAAAGAAAGCAAAAGCACTGGGAATAATTAAGAAGAAAAATACTTTATTCGTGGCTGAAGTAAAGGGTCACATTGATGAAAAATACATTAATGATTACATAAACTTTTTACCGATAATAAGAAACTTAGATATTATCACAGATGAAAAAACAATTGGCAGTTTTATTTATAATTACATGAAATCAAACAATCTACCAGTTGACCAGAAACAGAGGAAATTAACTCAGTTAGCATCAACACACAACCAATATCAACCATTTTCTTCTTATTATCTTTGGTATCTAATAGACAGATTTCATTTTATCATTGATGACATTCAATCAATTTTAACATTTACGAAAAACACTTGTTTTAATGAATTTGCGAACGAATTTATGAACGAAAGACAAAAGGCTGAATTAGAAGGAAATAAAGGAAAAAGTTTATTTTGCAAGATTTCACTTAATGGATCATATGGTTACGATGCAATGAATACACAAAATTACGCAAAGACTAAAATAATGAATGCACAGAAGTCACGCGTTGCATGTATGTCAAATAAGTTTAAAAACATAAGAGAAATAGGTGAAGATACATATCAAGTGATGCTCAAAGATAGATTTTATAGATGTGATACATGTTTACAAGAGGCATTCTTCACTTTAGATAACGCAAAATACTGGTATTTGGTTTTCATTTATGATTTTATGTATAAATGCATGAATGTTAATCGTTTTCATTTCATTGAAGGTGATACTGATTCATCTTATTGGGCAATCGCTGGCGACCCAAATCTTCCTAACACTCAAGCATTTCAAGCAATTGTTACTGATAAACAATTTTATGATAAAAACATTTTCAAATTCGCACCATTTGATTTCTTCTGTTTTGATGAGAAATTTAAACCTAAATTAAAGAATAAAGCTGAAGAAAAAGCACATGAGAAGAAGTTATTGGGTTTAGCAATTGAGAAACAAGGTGATAACATGGTTGCTTTATGCCTTAAGTGTTATACATCATTCAACGGTTCAATTGATGGAAGTGATTTTAAAAAGATTGCACAAAAAATGAAAGGTGTTAGTTTACGACAAAATAAACAATTAACACCTAAAAATTATTTGGATATAATAAATGATAAAGTTATTTTCGATGGTCAGAATATTAATTTACAACTTAAAAACGGGTCAATGACTCGCTTAACAATCGGTAAGACTGCATTAACAGGAGCACACACTAAGGCTGTATGTTGTGAAAATGGATGTTGTATGCCATTTATTTAATACAATTTAAAATTTTATTTTTAATAAAATGCCACAGAAGAGACAAAAGGAACCGAATAGATTTATACCAAATGGTTTTAACTTTCAGATTCCAAATAATCAACCGCAACGAATTTTTCAAATCCCACCACAGCATCAACAGCCGCAATAACCACCACCACAACGTCAACGGAGAAGAACATTCACCCCTGAAGAAAGAAATTTCAATAATTTGATGCGTCAAAAAATCAAGGTTTGAGATTTTATCCAGGTAGTAATGGTATACATATAAGGCATCCAAATTTAGATAGAAGATATACCGCTGAGATTCATATTTTACCTAATAATACGGTTAATTTTGCTGGATTTTATGATCATCATCAGGAAATCTGGACTCCACCATTTGATACTGTTTTAGAAGGAGGAACCGTTAATGATGTGATTCAATATGTAAATAATGGTTTTGATACTATGATTCAAAGGTGGGCACCCTTAAAACATTTATTTTATTTTTATATAAATGGATAACGCAGATTTAGAAAATTTAATTGATGATTTAGTACTTAATCAAAATTTTCTTAATTATTATGAATTAAAATCATATCTCCAAAAACATAATAAAAATATAACGGGTGATGATATGGATTATTATTATCCGTATTATAAAAATGAAATTTTGAAATATCATGATAAAATAATTTCTGTAATTAAAGACAAAATTAAAAATAATGAATATACAAATGGAAAAACTAAATCACAACTTAAACAGTTGAAAGATTTCAAAAATAAAGTATTAACAGAAGAAATATTGATGAATTATATAAATTATATAATCCTGAGCCGCAAAAGCCAAAGGAACAAAAACAAAAGAAGAAAAAGCCGAAAACAACACCAAAAGAGAAAGTAGCAAATGTTCAACAGCTAAAGGTGCAAAACACCCAGGTCCTTCAGACCATAAATGAAGCACAAGCTTTAATTTATGATTCATTAGTTAAACCATATTCAGCCCGACTTTTAAATGAAGATCAACTTTTGGAATTCATCCTTCAACATAAAACTCGAAGCGGGAAAGTATATCAAACCTTTATATACAGCATATTTAAAACAAATGAATAGAATACATCCAGAATTAATGAAAGGAAAATCAACAACTAAAACTTCATCATCCAAAATCAAAGCAGATAAAATTAAACCACCTGCAACACCAAAACCTCCAACGGTAGTACCTCCCCCTTCAGTTAATCCTTCATCATTCACTTTATTATATCCATTTCAAACATTAAAGAAGCAAAAAGATTTTAAAAAGGATTTCAAGATATTAAATAAACCAATTGACCTGAAAATTCAACCGTTAAAGGAAAAATTTAGTCGCCCTTCATTTGCTCCATATCCATATTCATACGAAATAGATCATTTAGAATATTCAAAAGGAAACGTTACTTATTTATTTGCCATTAACATTAACACTAGATATTTATATTGCATTCCGGTGAAAGGAAAACAGAACAGGAAACAAGAAGAGCTATACAATACTTACTAGATCATGAAAGAGTAGATAATATCAGGGTGATGGTGATAAAGGATTTCAGGCAGCTATGATTCATTATTTCCCACAAATTAATTTTTACTTCTCATCCTCTCCATATACGTTTCATAATAAAATAGTTGATGCGGTAATGAGAACTCTTAGAGATGCGTTAGGGGTTAACGGTCAGATATACTGGGATGGAAATCATGACTCCATCATACAACAGTTAGTATATTATTACAATAATACATGGCATAGAACTATAAACATGAAACCAGTGGAAATGAAAAATGATATTTCAAAAGAATGGGAATATATTAGAAAGCAAATGGAAAGGTTAAATGATGTTAAACGTGAACAAATTAATTCGGGGCTCATGAATTTTAAACAGGGGATAAAGTTTTGATTCATCTCGATTATGGAAAACTGATAAATCAATGACAAAAAGAAGACGAAGATTTGACACAATAGCTGAATTTGTTAGATATATTAACGGCAATGCATTAGTTGAAGTTGACAATAAATTAATAGAAATTCCGATTTATTTTATTACTCCATTATATTTAAATAATATTTAATTTTTTTTTATTTCGTAAGAAATGAGTGACAACAAAGCAGCCAAGAGTCCTGATTCAATTAAGATTCAGAGTCCAGACAATGAATATAAAAAGAAATTAAACAGAATTAAATCAAAAATATGCTATTCCAAAAAGAAGCCGCAATGCGGTGGGGCTGATGCCCATAAAACTAAAGAACTGAAAACGATAAAAGAGAGGAAAGAAATAATCGAAAAGTTAGAAACTTACCGTTCAATCCTTAAACTGAGTGAAGCAAAAATAAAAGAATTTAATAGAATAAATAAATTGATTGGAAGAGATGAATTTAATAAAGATGAATTTTTAAACTCTATCCAAATTTAATTTTTATTCCTCTTCGACAACGTCTCTTCGAGACGCCGAACCCTTCTGGGTTCTTCTTTCCATCATTACTGCATAACCGCATCTTCTCGGTTTTCGTGGTTTGTTGTTTTTAATTAGTTCTTGCATCATTTTTATCATTTCCTCCCTTGTTATGATTCGTGGTAAATTTTGAGCTTGTGGGGTATCCATTTATATAAAAATAAAATTTTGTTATCAGTTATTTTATCGTTAATGGTTTTTAGGTTATTCAATAATTAATTATTTTTGAATAACTGATGGTGTCACTACGTCACCATGTGTCACCTGGTTAATTAACTTCTTTTAAAAATGATGACAACATGACATTTAGACATCACAGCAGGATTAATGCAAAAATAAATTCGAATCATACTTTATACTGCAAGACCTTCAGGTCTCGCCGCTTAGCGGCTCATTTACAGGTATTTCATCGTCAGTAAATGAATCATCATTATCGTTTGGTTCAACCTGTTTATATAATCCTTTCATTTCTTCTTTCAAAACATAACACCATGTTTGTTTACCATCTATTCTTCTCTGTTTCCTTTCACATTTATCCTTAATGCTCATTTGAAAGTTTTTGTCTTTCATGTCTGATGGTTTGCAGAATAGAGCATTTTTACACGTCATACCTGCACACAATTCATCATAATGTGTATTTATCCATACATCTAAAGGATTTGTTGATAATTCTATTAAATCTTGTTTGGCTTCAGTCATCGGTATGATTCGTACGTTAAATGATGAAAGGTCATATTGCATAAAATATGTTAGTAAATTATCATAAAATTCCTTTGTGCATGAATCCATTAAATTCTTGAAATAATCAAATTGACCCTTGAATTTACCATTAACCCTTAAAACTACGTATCTTCTGTCTCCAACTTCAATTTTGACAGGGTAGACGTTGTTAGTTACGAAAATGAAGTTTGCAACGTTCTGAGCAGTTCTTCTGGGTTGATTCTTTTCATTAATTCTTATTTGATTATCCGTAATAATTGATTTCAAAGCGTTGAAGTTTGCGAGTCTGTCTTCACCTACATTCTTGAGTTCATTAAGTACAAGAAACATTTTATTCTCAACTACTGAATTGAAATTACCCGTTAGCTCACCTATTTCGGTAATGTTTTTACATGAATAACCAGCGAGAAGTTCAGAAATAATGTCTGTAAATCTGTTTTTACCTGTTCCCTGAAGTCCTTTCAAAATAATTGCTGTTTCATTCTTGATTCCAGGATGTTGAATCATTGATGCAATCCAGCCGAGAAGGTATTTATACACTTCATCGTTATTATCACAAATGGCTTCTTTAATGAAATTCATAAACATCTCAATTTTTGAGTAATCTGGTTTTTCGAGAACGTTGTATTTATAACCCTGAAACGTTGAGAAAACATCTGGAGAATCAGATTTAAAGCAAACACCCTTAACGGTTAATGAGGATAATTGATTTAGTAGTACGTCCCATGCTGTTATGGTTTTACCTTCTTCTTTAAATAATTTAATCATTTTGAGTGACTCTTTCATGTTTGATTGAAGAACGAATGATATTTGATTCATTTTATCGTGGATGTTGTAATCTTTCTGAATAAAGTATTTGTTTCCACAATCTACAAAACGGATTACACGTGATAAATCCTCAATTACTTCAGAACTGTTTTTATACTGATGATTTTCAGCCTTGCGTCTAATATCTGTTATCAAGAATGAATCATCAAGTTTTATATCAAATGTTATTTTTGGCTTACATAATAAAGGCAAAACGTATTCATCATAATATTCCTTTTGATATAGTTTTAGAATCTTCACTAAAACAAATGGAGAAGTCATTAAATGTGCATATCTACTACGTGCTTTTTCAAAATTACTTTTTGCATTTTCAGTTAAATTGCAGAAGTTATAAACGTTATCGTAGGCTTCATTAATTAAATGATTAGGTAACGAATTAATAGCTTGAAACAGTGTGAATAATGTAACTTCTTTTTCTAAATTCATGTTTCCACCGTCATTATGTACTTCAAAATCACTGATGCCATCAACTATGCTTTGAGTTAGTTTATCGTCAATGTTTACATCTTTGTTTTCATTCATGATAGTCTTTATTTCTTCATTCTTTTGTTCAACTCTTACCTTAATATTCAAATCATTTAATATATCATTCACTGTTCTGGTTATGGTCGAGTCATAACTTCCACGAATGAATGAGTATGTTTTGATTGGTTCTGTTGCATTCTTGCGAACTCTTGAATCAGCCATAACCACTAAAGAACGCTTTGAATCATCCATAGAAGTCATTATGTCAATATCATAATCATTGCAAGAATAGCATTTAATCATTCTGTTCGAAACTGCATAGAAGAAATTAGTGTTGCAATAAATGTGAAGACCTCCTGAAGCGGTTTTAACGATAACATCTTTATCCGAAAGTTTTGATAAAATATCTTTTCTAACTGTTTCTTTAAGTTCATCATTGTATGATTTATTGATATCAACATCTATAATCGTTAAATTTGAAATTTTATTTACTAATAAAGCCATACCAGTTTTCCTTCCTCTTCCTCCATCGTGTTTGAGGTAGTTATGTAAATCAATCTTGTTTTCACCAATTCTTTCGTTGAGGGTTTTAGTTTCTGCCACAACTAATTCCTCAGCTAATGAATCAATAACTTTTTCATCAGAAACGATATAGTTGCTGTTGTTGTTTGTTGCTGTCATTTATATAGGAATAAAAAAATAAAAATAATTTTAAAACTAACTTTATTTTTGGACTGCATCAAATTTCCTTTGTTGATGTTGTCTAAATGTCATGTTGTCAGTAATTTTAAGAGAAGTTAATTAACCTGGTGACATGGTGACGTGGTGACACTGAAACCATTAACGATAAAATATATTTTTGGTGTAAATTTTATTAAGTTCATCTTTAGTTAATTTGAATGGATTCGCTAATGTTCCACCTTGAGCCACAACACTTGCCCCGGCTAATTGTGAAGAACCTGGGATAAGTACTCCATGAAATGATTTCATTGGTATCATTAATTTAGAAATAGTTGGTTTAATTATTTTTGTCATTTATGATAAAAATAAAATTGCATAATTTAAATTTTTTTCTTTCTCATTTTCTCATTTTCTCATTTTTTCTCTTTTTCGTTCTGTTTTGGTTTCAGTAACTTTAATTTTAACTTTGGATCAAATATTGGGTTTCCATCTTTATCTCTTCCAATAACACCATATGGTAGAATCTTCATTTATACTAAAATAAAAATTTAAATTATGCCGTTCTAAAGTTTGTGAAACAAACATTGAGCGTTCATTGAACGCGAAACCATGCATAAACTGTCATATAAGGTGGCATGTAATCTTCACCCGAGCCTGTTGGATTTGTTGTGAAAGTATGGACATGATTTCCTCCTAGTTCAGTTGGTCGAAAAGTCTTTTTTGCTGAATTGTTATAAGATGGAGATAAAACGTCATAGCCAGCTTTATAGTCTGAGTTGTATAATGGGTGGTCTCTTAATGAGTGGCTATGGTCGCCAGAAAAGTTTGTCGTTCCTGTATGAGTGTGCGCAGGTAAATTTTCTCCCGTAATCTTTTTACTTCCACCGGTTTGTTTTGAACTATTAGCACAATATAGGAAACGATCGGTTATTTGTTGCCATGTACCGAAACCGAATACATCAGCTGGATTTGTTGAATTCATTGATGTATATATTGAACCAATGGGGTAAATCATCTCAAGAATTGTATTTAATCCATTATGAATATTGAATTTATTATATAATATTGAATTTGGGTGAGTATTTAAAACTGGTCTTGTTATCAATATTAACGTATTATTTTTGAAAATTGCTTTTCTAACATCTTGAAATTTTGTGATTTCAGACCAGTTTCTTCCATCACTACTGATATTTACTAAATCACCACATCCTAAAGCAATGAAATACCCATCAATATAAAATAAATTAGTAAATCTATAATTTCGAGTAAGTTTTGGAGTGAATGAATAAACCAATTCCCAATTTGATAAATCCTGTGATAAATAAATATGTCTGTTATAACTTACAGGATATGAATAGACCATACCACCTGAAACAAGAACACAAACATTTGAAGCATAACATAAAGCTTCAATGTCTCCATCGGCTTGAAAAATTTGTTCAAAACGACTTTGTGGTATTGAATATGATCTATAAATTTTATCATTCTGTAGGATAAAATACATGCTGTTAATGTAATACCATTTACTTGTATAATCAATTTTCAAATCTGATGACATCATACTAAACATATAATAATTTATCCCATCCTCACTAATGAAAATTTGATTGACTTCATAAATTAGTACCCATTTATTATTAACACATCTAATAGGATTATTTGGATATTTAAATTTAGCATCTTGATTTAAATTACATTTGAACCATTGGATACAATCGAATGAATAACAAGGGCAAAAATCATCTCCAACCGTTATCATTCCCATAAATTTACCGTTATTATATTCAACATATAAAATTCTTGGATTAATGATTGGCTTTCGTGTATCAGGATTCAAAACAGATGGAGTAAATGATTCATAGTTTTTAAAATCATTTGTTTTAAAATAATAAAGCACTCCAGCTGTATAAAATAAATACGTGGTCACTCCATCGAAACATATCCATTCAAAAGAATCTATATCAAAGGTTTTATCTGATGATTTCATAAAATTTAAAAATGGTGGAGTAAAATAGACCTCTGATTGTTTTATTTCTTCATTAACAAATGATATATCAGCTTTCTTTGCTAACTCAGTATTAATGAATGAAATAACTTTTTCCTTATCTGCTTTCTTCTCTAACTCATTGTTAACATATGTTTTATCTGCTTTAAGGTCTAAACATCCTGAAACCCATTTTGTATCAGCTTTAACTTTAAAAGTCTCCAATGTCCATTCATGATACCATTCAACCTTTTCTTTAATTTCATTATCTTTTTCATCAACATAAACTAAATTTGCCTTCTTGTTTAACTCGGTATTTACATAAACTAAATCTGCTTTCTTCATTAACTCAGTATTAACATAAGTTTTATCTGCTTTAAGGTCTAAACATCCTGAAACCCATTCTGTATCAGCTTTAACTTTAAAAGTCTCCAATGTCCATTCATGATACCCTTCAACCTTTTCTTTAATTTCATTATCTTTTTCATCAACATATTCCTTATCCACCTTCTTCATTATGTCATTTAGGAAACCTTCTATGAATTCTTCATTTAAATTAAATCTTCCAATCTTCAAAACTTTAGGAAATGCATTTAATGCGTAATATCTCTGTTCTTCTGGTGGAATTGATGTTATATCATCCGTTATACCTTTAATTTTAGAATTCATAAATAAAATTTCTTTTATATTTGATATCACTGCACCACCTTTGCAAACGAATTCGAAATGGTCATTTTTCAATACTATCTCCAAATCTCCATATTTCAACCTTTGCGTTTGTTCTGCCGTCTTTGAATTATATGCATATATGGCGTATGTAATGGTCTGAAGGACCTGGGCGCTTTGCGCCTTATGTTGCTGTTGTTTAATCATTTATTATGATTTAAAAATAAATATTTAATCCGTTATCTCATCAGCTATTTTTTCTATTTGAAATTGCCATAATATTTCATTCATGAATTCTAAATCACAATCAAATAGGTCAGTTATTCTAAATTTAATATTTGATAAATCTTTTGAATGAAGAATAAATGAATTCCCGGATAATTGAAACGGATATGATAAAGAAAATGTGTTTAAGTTGATGGATAAAATGTTTTGTATTGATGGGTAAGAGTTAGGGTCTAATGTTTGATGTGAAAATTTCATTGGGGTATTAACTTTATCACATTTGATTAAAATGAAATTGGAACCAGTGTCAGAATACAAAACATCCCCAACATCTTTTTCAAAATTTAATATCCCCAACAATGAACGAAGATGAGGAGTACAAAATTTAATTTTCAGCGGGAATTTAATAAGGTTATTTATTTCATCAAGTTCAAAAAGTTTATCGGGTTTTGATTTAAAATTTTCTTCATACCATACGATAAATGATTCATTTAAATAACTTAAAATCATGTTAATATCCCATTTCGCTATCACATTATTTATATACATATCATACGTTTTTTAAGGTCATCTTTAATAAATGATATATAATCTGAAGGGTCTAAAAGAATGGGATTAAATTTACCACTCACAGAAACGAGAGTAACATTATAAATTCCGCTAACTGTTAAATTTAATTCACAGTTATTATTCGAAATAATATTGATAATTGACATTTTTTATTACGATTAAAAATATGGTAAAGCGTTATTTTCCAGTGATAAATAAAACTAGAATAAGATTACCTCAAGAATTCATAAATTCAACGAATAAGAAATTCATTCATGTTATAAATTTTAGTGTTTTCAGAAAATATGAGTCAGTGTCATATTCATCAACAGGTTATATTTCACTTCATTCAAATTTAGTTCAATCAAACCCATATAATGACCATTTCATAAGATTTTCAGATGGTATTAAAAATGTAATTGATAGATTAAAATATGAACAGATTGACAATATCGAATTTTTGGAATTTTGGTTTAAATATCCCGATGGAAAAAAGATTGAAGTTAAAGATAAAGCTGATACTATAACAAAAACAATTACAATGACCGATCCGGATAGTGGGGAACAAAAAGAAATAAAACAAACGATAGAAACTGGTGAAAGGTCAATTATTATTGATTATGATTCAAAGGATTATTATTCGATAATGTTAATGCTTGAATATTAAATAGCCTTAACAAAGAATTTTTCAAGTGATATTTTATATTCATCAACTATTTTATTATAAATATCATTATATGTTAAATGAAGTTCAGTTGTTGTTCCGTTCTTTGATATCTTAATTGTGCTAATATCCTTTATAGGATTTATTTTTGCAACTGTTCCGCAGCATGAAACCTCATCATCTATGAAAAATTGAATCTTAACGTCTGAATCTTGAACATCACAAAGAATGGCGATAATGTGAATTAATGATTCATAAGGTAAAATAATTAAACCGGATTGGTCAATTAAATTTATTATTGAATCATAATTATTAATTATTATATCACGGTAAATTTTCATTAATTCAGAATTAATGTCTATTTTATATGGGTTCTCGATGTTTGATGAAAGAGGCGGGGGTATGTTGGATAAGTGGGAATTTCAACAGGTTCTTTACCGGGTTCAGATAAAATGATTGGGTCTCCATCTTCTTTATTTTGCTCCTCCTCCTTTTTCGGTAAGTCACGAGTTAATAAATTTGGTTGAGTTGCTGACCTTGTTAATTCAGGGCTAACATTAACTTTAACATTTTGAATAATTCGTGATTTATCATCATTTACGTTATAACCAACCGTAATCTCTGCTTTTGCGTTAGTGTTTTTTGACTAGTGAAACGTCTTCTCATTTATAATCGAATAAAAAAATATATTTAAACTTTTATTTTGCTGGAAGTTTTGAATCTATTATTCCCTGTATTTGTTCTTGAAGTTGATTTTTAGCTGGTTCATTGTAATTAATAGACCTAATATATTCATTAATTGCATTCTTATAATCATCTGATTTCTCAAATTTTCTTTTATCTGATTCCTTAACTAAATCATAAGTTAAACCTCGTTGCTGATATAATGGTTTCTTAATTAAATCTTTGAATGCTTGAGATAAAGCACCTGATGCAATTCTTGCTACTATAATTGGTTGGAATTGCTGTTTAAGTTCATCTTTAACATTTGCGAAAACTGGATCGAATAAAGCACTTTAAAGAATTTCTTAGCTGAAATTTCAGGTCTAATATTTGCATATTGACCATCAAACTGGTTAGAATATCGTGGTAATCCATCCGGTCCCTCTTCAATAGCATTTAATTCTTCATTGAAATAAGAATATGGATTATAACGGTATGAATTAATTGGACCATTTTCACCTTCTCCAATGTATTGTTTAACAGCTTTTCCATTTTCATCAAATTGCATAGGATAACGTTCATTATATGCTTTACGTTTAGGATAATCAGTTATAGTTAATTTATAACCATTTATGACTTTAATATTACCTTGACCATCAGTAACGAAAACTTCATTTATACCATCAGGTTTTCCATTTGGACCCGTAATGTCTGCTTCGTGTGCTTCCCAATTTGGACCTTGACGTTTGGCATATGCTTGAGCTTCTGGTAATGTTAAAACGTTTCTCATTTGTTTAACATCTTTTTGAAGACCAGCAACAATATGAACTAATTCTTTCATTCCATCAGGAACTTTCATAGTTCTATTATATGCACCCTTTTTGTTTGTTCCTTGTTTTAATGGAACCTGTAGAAGATTTGCTATTTCTGTCATGTTTAATTATAAATAAAAAATAAAAATTAATTATAAAAAGTTAATCAAATTTAACACCTCCTTTATTTAAATCAACTATTATTTTTCCATGTTCACCTAATTGCTGATATTGTGTGTAAAGTTCATTAATGCTCATTGGTAAATTCACTTGATAAAGCATAACGTTCAACTGTTGACGACTAAACCCACTGAAAATGAAAAGGGTTGATAGATTTGATTTAATGTTTGTGCTTAATGCTTTGAAGTATTGAACAGCCATAAAGAATGAACACTGAATGTGTCGACATTGAGTTAATAACTGATTAAAATATGATTTCTCATTTGTTATTAGTTTTGATTTCACTGCATCATCTAGAAAAATGAGTGAATGCAAAAATTCTCTATCAAAATTTGAAATAGAAAGTGTTTCAAATAATTCATCCCGTTGTTTATCAATAATTTTATCCTCTAATCCTTGCTTCTTGATTGTATTATATAATTCTTTATACATTAAAAAGTTTTTTAAATAATCTTCTGCTTCTTCTTGTGATAAATAAATAATTGGAATTTTGATTAAATGCTTTAAAGATTCAAATGTATCATCTGAAGGTGAACCTGAACGGTTGATATAAATTAACACATGTGAATAGGGGGAAGTGTTAGCAATAATGATAATTTGTTTTAATATCGTTAATGTTTTACCTTTATTTTGTTTACCAATTGCTGCAGTGATTGAATTTAAGTAACATTCAGAATATGGAATTTTCATTAATTTTTCCTTAGATAGAGCATTTCTATTATCACTCAATGCTTCATTAATCATATCATCTATGTATGTATTATATACTCCTGCTAATTCTTCATAAGGAGTGTATGAATTTAAATCCATTTAATCAAAAATAAATTTATAATTTTAAACATTTCTATTCATCAATATTTCATCATATGAACTTCTATACTGTGGTGGTGTACCTGTTGGATGATATTTCAAACCTTCATCCGGTGTCCATGTCCAATATGTAGTCCTAGTAAACCAAACCTGAGGAGGATTTGTCACCTTTGAACAGTAAGTGTCATTTTCACCCTGAATGATTGGATAAGCTTTCACTTGTACTGTAACTTGTGAGTTGAAAGTTTCTAATCCATCAAAGAATATACCCGCTCCATCACGTTGAACTGGAATAGTGCATAAGAATGAAGTTTGGTCTTTCCATGTTCTAGCTAATGGCGTGCCATCATCTGCATTCAGTGGTCTAGTTAATGAGTCCTCGTATTCTTCTGTGCATTCATTCACTCCATCTAAATCAGAAGCTTGAAGCATACGTGTAAAGAATATGTCACCCACTGTGGTCATCGCTTGATCGGGGAAGTTTCTGGAATCTATAGTGACCTGAAGACCTCGAAGCATTGGATTTTCTAAAACCGTTCTTTGCATTGCATTCTTCGGAAATGCTAACACAACATCTGTAACATTATGAAGAGCGTATGAGAAATCTGAGCTAATACCTTCAGGAGTGATGCAACCTCCATTTAGTGAACGAACGTCAATATGTTGAGCTGGAATCATGAATGGATCTTCCTTACTGAATAAACGTGGTATTGCTTTAACTGATTCTTCAATTAAACCGTATCCTGGTGTAATGCATTTATCCTCTAAAACTTCCATCTTTGTGCATGAAATAATAACGTCATCAACTGTTGCGTCAGCAGATGTAGCGGCTAAGCTTGTAATTAATTTGGCAGGAAGTCCGATTTGTTGGAATTTGCGATCATATTTATAAACATGATTCATAATCTTTTCATAATTTTCATCAGTTATCTTTTCATAAACGTAATTTTGTAAATCAGCAACTCTTAACGGGTCAACCTGACAAAATACTAAAGTATCCCTGAAAACATAATATTTAAGAATGATATCACCAAATGATTTAGGATAATCATCGAACGCCTGAAATGCTAACAAATCATTTACCGGAATAATCATATCAAAAGTGACATCAACTTCTTCATTTGCTTTCTTGAAAACTTCTGAAGGGTCAATATATTTACCACATACTGAGTTATCATATTTTTGAACATTATTATATAACGAATGAACAAACTTTTTAACTTTCCTTTCTGATTTTGGTTTATATGTTGCAAATGCGAAAGATTCACGGGCGCAATCCATCTGAAGATAACCGGCATCACCTCTTTCGGTTTCTACTTCTAATTGTTTAAAGCTTTGATTTGATGATTTGTAACCAACGAATAAACGCATGCATTTAAAAGCGGCATCACATGTGAAAGCTTTATTTGAAACTAGAGTTGCTTTAACTTTGCGTTTAATATATGTGTCACCTAATTGGTTCACATCATGAGCCGGATTTGTAATTCTTAAATGAGTTTGTTTATCATCAAAATATGGAGCATCAGAGTCATAGCATGAACTTTCAAGTTCTCTATAATATCTTCTACCGTCATTCTTTGCGAATATTTCATTTATCTTTTCGAATGAATGAAACACATTTCCATTAATCGGTTTAGTGTTTGGCACCAAATAGTTAGTCGTCATTTATTAATAAATAAAAAATCAAAATTAAAATGAAAATGAATTTTTAATTTTAATGAAATAATCAACTATGGCTGCAGGTATATTTAAGAAACTGTGGGATAAAGTAAAAAGAGGAGCGAGTAAAGTTTGGGAAACATTGAAGAAGGGCAAATTGGATATTTAAGAATAAAGAAGCAATTAGTGACGTTGCTGAATCAATAACACCAAAAGCTGCCCCAATAAGAGAAGTTTTAAATAAAGGAGAAAAAGTTTATCAAAGACTACCGATACTAAGATAAAAATAATATTTATTTTTCCACTATCTACCCCTATTTTATTAAGTATTCCTTCAGCATTCCACCAACTGCGTTACCTGCTTGTGCTCCCATCGCCGGATTACCTGCTTTAGTACCTAATACTCCACCTATGATAGTTCCTGCCGTTTTCGCTACTGGTGCCAAAAAGTTTGCAACGGGTTTAATAATCTTTTTATAAACCCAACCCGCAGCTTTCTTAATTCCATCCCATAATTTTTTAAAGAATCCTGCCGCCATTTCTGATTTAATATTAATTAAAAAATATATTTCATCACTTATATTCTAATTTTTATTTAATGATAAATGAAACTGATTTTAAAAATAAATGAAACAGAGGAGGAAGAAATAAATGAAAGTGAAAATGTTCAACAAAAAATAAACGTTGTTAAACCAATTACTGAAATAAAAATTTTTTCATCTGTTGAAGAATTTAATGACTATTATGCTAATAATAAAAAATTATTTGAAGAATTGACAACGTGTAAATTGAATAAAATGTTTAAAGTTGATGGATTCAAAATTTCAAAAATAAAAGGAGTGGTTAGTTTGAAATCTATTCCTCAATCAAGAATCACCTCATTAATGAAAATAGATGATTTAACAAAAAGAATAGAAGAGATTGAAGAAAGAATGAATCAAATAATTGATTTCATAAATTCAAATAATCATTAGTTTCTTAAAGTTCAATGTTGAACACATCAAATTCATCTTCATCATTACCATTACCTTTAGCGAGTTTATTTACTCTTTCAACTTTATCTTTTGATAGTTTTTCGTTTAATTTTTTCTGAAGTTTTTCGTTACCAAGTTCTAAAATTTTACATGGATGATATTTAAACCCGTTAAATTCTTTTTCCTCAGTTTTAATCATTAATCTACAAAGAACTTTAGTGAGGTGGTTTTGTTGTTTAAACCATTTATCCTTCATATTTGTTATAAATTCAATATCCGGAATTAATTCCCAAATTTTTGAATTTTCGATTAATTTACCATCAAATGCAAAAGCAATAGGTTTAATATTAAACTTACCTTTATAAAATAAACTTTGTATGCAATCATCAAAATAAACGTCTACTTGTTTAACCTGGGTGAGAATTGGTGAAAGTTTATCCATTAATTGATTCACAGTCACGAATTTTGATTCACTCATTTCTTACGAATTAAAAAAATAAATTATTCAAAAATGTCAGAAGTTTATTTTTTAAAGTTTATTTTTTATTCATGAAAATAATTATTTCTAATTTCTTTTACTCTCTCGTATATACTAGATTTAAAGAATTCAGAACTTTTACCATAATCTCCTAAATGTTTTCTTATCCCTAACGTGTGCCAGTTATTATATGAAACTGAATAAACTTTATCTTTATCTTTACACCTTTCATCACTTCCAATATATTTATATCTCAGTTTTGATTTAGCATTTTCATATTCATTAGCGTTTAATAATTCACAGTCTTCCTTTTTAAATTGATGTTTAAGATATTCAGGATTTAATACTCTACGTTTATATGCTCCTAACTTAGTTCTAAAGGTTTTTCTACAAAATTTAGGAATTCCATCCTCTTTAATGTCATCAATGATTTCCATTTCATTATTTTCAATTTCTTCTTCTTGTTTATGAGGTCTTTGATTATGACTCCATTGATTCCATGAAATTAAATATTCTTTATCATTATATTTATACCTCATTAGCTTATTTTGGCTTTCATATTCATTTAATAATTCACAATCTTCATTTTTAAATTGAAGTTTAACCCATTCAGGATTTAAACAATGTTTAATTAATCGTGGAATATCTGACATCATCTATATATATATAGATTATTTTATAAAAGATAAAAAATAAATTATTTTAAAATTAATGTTAATTTTTTTAATGATTTATAAATAAATATATTTTAATGCATCGTCTATATATAGATGTAACAAAAAAAGTCACTAAACCCGTCATATCCTACTACTATTCAACAATTTACTTAAATATAGTGCTATATCAAAGAGCAGCTTCTACCGATATTTGTATTATGTTATTGAAGAAGTTATGGCATAACGGGACACTTTAAAAAGAATTATGAGCACGAATCACAAACTAAGTCTGCTATCATTTAAGATACTAAGCAATTTTATCGGCACGATAATCCAAATCTGTGCTGATTATCCAATCAAGCGATTGATCATCGCCAAATACCATTAGATTGTAAATAACTCAAAATTAAAGAAATTTAAAAAACAAAATCCATTTTCCTGTTTTCTACAGATATTACCTCAGTCAATGCTATTTTCGGTTTCATTGAAACTGCTCAATTTTTTCAATTCAAGCTGATTAATCAAACAAATTTTCCTGAGTATAAACATGCGCGTTATAATAATTACAATACGTTTTTCATATAAAAATAAAATTCTAGACAATTTTTTTAATGATCGTCTTTCGTCTGATTTTCTTTGTTATACCAATAGTATGTTACGCCCTAACAAAGAAAATCATCTGGAAGAGTTCGATACATGATATCTCTTCGGATTCAATTAGTATTTTTATCATTTTGTATTGGATTGCCACAAATTGTTTCCTTGGCACCGTAAGCAATAATTTTTCAAAATATGGGTTCAATTTATATCTTTTCATTGCAATTACAGCATTATCAATATTTGTCGGAATATTTATATTGCCTTTATATCGAAAAAAGATGTTTTGGATCATTAAACCAAAGCTACAGCTCAAGTCCAATCTCATGCTACAATATTTGGACGAATTTGAATCAGTTGTATTTTCTTTTATATCTGCATTAATAATAGGATTTCAGAAGAATGTATATCAAGTTTCAGGTACAATACATTTTGATGAATTGGAGACAATGCTCAAACAAACAGATTATGCTTCAAAATCAGAAGTTGTTTATTCATTTCTAACGAGTTATTATCTTCCATGCTTTTTCCCTTCATTATTACTCATTCTAATGTATTTCAAATATCGAGGTACCGGATTTATTATATATAAAACAAAAATTTACTTTAGATTTAGTGCAAAAGCTATTATTTTTGCCCACATATTTGCAATTTTCTTCGGATTTGTGAAGTTGATCAAACCAGACGAAGAAAGTTCAATTGAATTTTTCGATAAATTTTATGTTAATCCAACAGACGAATTATTGACATTCCCTAGTAAGAAAAAGAATATCATATTCATAAGCGTTGAATCATTAGAGACATCATTCTTCTCCAAGTCAATTGGAGGATTATTTAATAATTCATATGAACCAAACATAGAGAAATTATATTCTGATCCAAAAACAGTCTACTTCTCCAGTGAAAAAGGTAAGATAGGAGGCGCTGAGCAGCTCAAACGAGCAAGATTTACCGTAAGCGCTAATTTTGCCTTAACTTGCAGTCTTCCATTCAAATGGATGTCCAAATCAAGTCAAATAACAGTAGAAAATAGTCCGCAATATTACTATCCAAAAGTTAGCTGCATTGGAGATATTTTGCAGCGAAATGGATATTCAACAAATTCAATTTTCGGTACACATTACAATGATTGGAATTTTGGATCAATATTTGATTACCATGGCATAGAAAGAGTCATAACCAATCAACATATTATTAATAAGACACTTGTTTTTATTCCAGATTTCTATTTATTCGAATACATAAGAAACAGAGTCATGGATATTATAAAGCAAGAAGAACCATTCTATTTACACATTGTAACAAGAGATACACACGAACCTGGCTATATTTGCAATGCATGCCCTGAAGCACCTACAAAGTTAGAAAGAATTTATCGATGCTTGGACAGTAATATTGAAGACTTTCTTAGATGGAGCAAGAAGCAAAGCTGGTATCCAAATACGGTTTTTGTACTTCATGGCGATCATTTGCTCAGGAACAACGATCTATCAGCATTAGCAATACAAAATAATTACACGAGAACAATTTTCAACATGTTTCTTCATACTTCAACAAAAGTTCAGCACAAAAAGCCAAGAAAATTCACACATTTGGATATTCTACCAACTGTTCTTGCTGCTGCTGGTGTTGAAATTAAAGGAAATAGACTTGGATTAGGATCAAATTTGTTTTCTGATACTAAAACAATTCTTGAACAGCGTAATAAAGAAGAAATAGAAAAGGATCTAGAAGGTGTCTATGCTTGGTATAAGAACAAATTTGAAGATATGAATTGCAATTTGAACGAACCATGCTTGAAAATAGGTTTAAATTTCTCTGAAAACGCCTTTCCATTTGAAAATAATTGAGACTTTATGTAATTTTTCCATTTATTCCAGTGCCTCTCAATTCCTGGCAAAATAGCAAAAATTAGGTTTATATCAGTATGTTTGTTATTTGTTTATAAAATTATTATATCCATGAATATATTTATTAAATATTAGCATAGCTGTTTTATTTATATTCGTTACTACCCTTTAGAATAAACAAATAAGGGGTACATATTATGGGTTTTCCTACAAGTGCAAAAATTGCACAAATACGATTATGTTGCATTCAAAGACTATTCCTTTTGGAAGTTTGAATTCCAAAAGGGATGCGTATTATTTGGGTGTTTAAAAGACTATCCGCGTAAAGAAGTCAAAAGATGGATATGCAATTGTTGCAATACTTTATTAATGGATATGATTATATATAATAGTTAACTCCAAACTTTTTCAAATACATAAAATATGTGCGGATTCAATTTTGAATAATCGTTTTTGCATCCCATATAAAACCTCATGTTATAAGAATAGATATTTAATTTACTCAATGAACGATGCATTTAAAATGCCGCATCTCAGTATAAAAGTTTACTTTAAAACGAAAGGTGTTTTTAATACAAAGCGAAAGACAGAAATCTCTATATCTTTCCATACAATAACATTACTTTTTAATATAAAAATGGAAGTTACAAATCATGAAAGTCAAAGAATGATATAATTGGGTTATATATATTCATTAACACCAACAACATTAAGAACACTTTGATAGTCTGCGTCGTTATCAGTAATTGGACCGAAATTGTTGAGATCAAACTGAAAAGTTTTTCCTTGGTTAAGAATTCTATTGCAAACAAGCAGAATGTTCTTAGAATCAGGTTTGATAAATAAATCTGTAACTAGTATCTTCTCTTTTTCACAAAATTGAAGAATTATGTATAAAAGTGAAGAACCTAATATTGTAACAAGTTCTTTCTTCGTTTTATCTTTATTATGTATGTCCGTTATTTTCAGATCGATTTTTTTAGGTAAATTGATTGAATCCTTGATATAATTTAGATAACTTTCAAATACTTTCTCACAAACTAATGTAAACTGATCATCATTGTAATATTCAAGAAATGTAGAAACTTTGGGGCCTTTTATTGTTGAATTATTTAATTTGAGAATTTTGAACAGGAAAGCATTTAGTTTTATAATTTCTTCGTCTTTTCCTGTAAATAAGTTGGAATCAATCATGAAAAATTCTAACTTTGATTGAGATTTGCTATTATCAGATAAACGTTCAAAATAGTTTAACATATTAGACAAGAACTCCTTATCCTGGCTACTGGAACCATTTGCTATAACGGTTTGATGTATTTTTTTCAGTGCATCATTAAAAAATTGTAATGAATCAAATTCTGGTTGTTGTGTCGCTTTACCTGATTTGTTCTTTTTATTTTTTGGTGTAATTTCGGTTGATATATTTTGTTGGCTCGTTGAATTTGATTGCTCGGGCTTTTTTGTTTGTTTTATATGGTTTGACTGCAAATGCACAAAATCCTTAAGAACTTCATTATTGATATGTCCTTCCTTTATGATTTTCAAAAGAGAATCAACCAAGTTCTTAGAGGAAAGCATTTTTCTATTGGCAAATTTATAAATATCCAGCAAAAAAACACAATATTAATTTTTCCAGCAATTAATTGTTTTATATTAGATCAATGCATTTCTAAATATAAAATTTAATTCTTATTTTATTTTCATTTTCAATGGACAAACAATTATGCATGAAAAAACTTTGTTTATGAGTTAAATACGAGCATTCTATATCCTAATAATAGTAATGCCATTATAGATTCTAATTTAGATGATTAGTATGATCTATATCTGTCCTAATACTGAGCTTTCTGCATAAAGTTATCTCCATCATATGTTTTACAAGTAATTCAATGAGTTTAGAAATTCATGCAATTTCATAGACAAATGATGCCAGTTCCTTTCTAGCATATCTAATTTAAATAGGAAAGTGATATGGAAAATGGAAACATTTTTCTTTCTAATTTTGATAGTCTAAAAGATCATCTTTACATGCAGCCAGATGTAAATATCATTTGACTTCTTTTTATTACGCAAAAAAAGAAATTAAATAAAATTTATTTTAATATATTAATATCGTAATACTTTATTAATAAACAAACTAATGTTAATTAACACATGCATCCAATTCTCCAAGGTGATACCAAATTTGTTCAATAAATGAGTCAACACCGCTGAATTTGGCTCCATAAACCGGCCAAAGACGTTCTATGGCCAAGTCAATTGAAAACGAATTTGATTTCACAAGATCTTGAATGGCAATTCTTAATGGAGGAATTGGATTACTATTAGTATAAAAATTCATATCTTCAGGCCTGGGGTTAGCATCAATATCCAATGAAACCTTCGGTAATTTGTTGAAAATTACTCCTGGTTCACATTCTTTTAATTTTGAAATTAATGTCGGTTCTTCCCAGTCAATAAGGTCGTATTCGCTTATAGATTCTTCCTCATCATCATAGTCCGAGAATTTTGGAAGAATCTTTGGAAGAATTGCATTTGAAGATTTAGATTTCGGAATTTCGTCATCTTCATCTTCCATAAACGAGTACGAACGGTCAGATACTATTCTAGCTGTTTTGTTTGGCTTGAAACTTGTTTTTGGCTTCGATGACGATTTTATTTCTTGAATTAAGACAACGTCATCGTTTTTAGATTGGTCTGGTGTAACGAGTGGATGTTTCCTTGGTCTACCTCTCTTTCTACGAGGAGGCTCTTGAGAATCTTGCATTTCTGCCGCAAGTTCCTTTTTTCCTTTCTTTTGGGACTTCTTCTTTTTAGGTGTTGAGGTAGATCTTTTGTTTGAAATGGAAATCTTTAGTAATGGCTCATCATCTAAAATTGTTATCACTTCATTTTGTTTTTTAGAGAAGAAATCGAGAATATCTTGCTTTGTTAGCTTCTTTACATTGGAATAATCAATTTTTGAAGGTAAAGAATTCGTTTCTAACTCTGGATTTGGTTTTCCAGTCAATAATTCTCGAATTAGGCTTTTATCAATATCAGAAACCTTCTGAAATTGATCAGTATCTGTTGGAATTATGGTATCATCCAATGATTCCATATCCAATTTTTCGAAATCATAATTATTTTGTTTTATCATCAAAGAAGTAACTTTGTTAATATAGTCTTGCAGATACAAACATCTGTAGTTCGCAATAAAAGCATAATCAGGTATTATTGCGTATGTTTCTGTATCTGAGTAATAAAATGAAGCCGGACTCTGTAAAATTGTGGTCAAATCATCTTCTGAAACTCTGTTTTGGATGTTTTCAAGCAGGAACTCTGGAGAACCAGATTTTTTATAAAATTGAAGAATTTTTTGATCCAAATAAGGATTTTCGATTTCTGAAACGTCCAGTAGCTTCTTATCGAAGTCAATTTTGAATCCTACATATGAATCTTTCTTAAATGTATTTTCAATTTTCAAAAATCTTTTCAAAAATTCATTTTCATCAGTAATTTCAAGGAACAAATCGCAGTAATGTGCAAAATTCATGAGATCTACGTAATACATGGGCGCTAAATAGTTATATTCATAGAGATATTCGTATAATAACTGTTCTTCTTCTTTTTTATATCTTAACGTTTTCCTCTCAGTTTTAACCATCATAGCGTCTTCAACTACGTATTTTCCAAGCTTCTCAAGTGAATAATTGATGAAATTTGATTGAATTTTCTTTAGAAATATATTTAACTGTAAGGACCAACAAACGCGTTGGCCAGTCAAATGCGTGTAGAATGAGGAAGCTGAATTCTCTTCAAGTGATGGAATTGTTTTAATAACTTTATTTAAGAAATGTGAGAGAGTTTTATTATTCTTTTTGGAGTAGATGTATTTGAAATGTGATGGAACTTGAGTTATATCTGTTACAACTAAATCATCTTCGATTCTTATAAAATTAAACTTTCCAAATGAGTTTTTAGCCAGTTCCACATTGACTGTTGTGTCTGTTATTTGAGAACATTCTGAATTTAAGTTCATATACCATATTCCGAGTGATTTTGATTTTAATATTTCGATTGGAATTCCTTTATTTTCCTTTTTATTATCAAGAATGACTGATACTAATGCGTATTCAAGTGATGTATATACAATTGATCCATTATGTGGATTAGGAAAGTCAGATTTATCTGAAAACTTACTAAAACAATCTTCGAACTTTGGGCAATTATCATCTTTGCTGGTCTTTAAAAGATCTACTTGACTGTCATCATTACTATCGATATCACTTGAACTCATGAGAAACTTTTGATATCTTTAGTGGACAGAAATTTCAATTGGGACTTTACAATATGTTGTAAAATCACTTTAAAAGCCATGAATACATATAACAAAACGATTTATCATAAAAGATTCTCATAAAAATCAGTTTTTCGTTTTCAATTTGATAATTTTTAGCTATTTGAAGTACATCAATATAATACTAAAAAGATTACTAGAGATTTAAAATGAATTCGTCATTTTTATTATTTCTTCAGATTATGAATATAACTCCTAAAAAATCCCCATCTATATTGAGATCAAAACATACTTTATCGTCTAACAAAAGCGGTTTATTTCTCAATAGTGAGGCTGGTTTTGATAGAGAAGAAAGAATTACAATTGAAGAAGAAGAATTATTACGTAACCTAGCAGAATTTCATAAAAAAGTCGAAGAATATGAAGAAGACTGCAAAGAGTTGCAGGAAGACGCCATTGTTACATATGATATTTCAGAGAGTTTGAATTTCATCACACAACAACTAGATGATTACGCTAACAGTATGCATGCATGATACGATGCAGCATCGGAAGTCTTACTAAAAGAAATTCCACCAGAAGATTCTGAAAATGAAAAAGTTATTGAATTAGAAGATGAAATTGATGACTTAAAAGAAGAGTTAGAAGAAGAAAGTAAGAAAGCAATTACAGAAAACCAGGATATTGATATAGATACTTATTCAGCTCAAATCGATGCAAGAAAACATAATAACGGATTACAATTAGGCATTTTAACAGAGAAACTAACAGATGCTGAAAAAGAAATACATAGTCTCACTGAAATGATCAATGAGGAATTACAAAAAGCACAAAAAGAAAATAATAATATTTCAGAGCCTCAACAACAAGAACAAACAGAAAAAGAAGACTCAGAAGATCAGAGAACTTCTGAAATTAAAGCTCAATTATTAGAAATTGAAACTAAAATGAAAGAATTACAAAATAAGGAAAACCTGCTCCAAAAAGAAAGAGAAAGTAAAGACCTAGAGATAGAAAAGCTCAAAGAGTATCTTGACGCAGCAAAAGGTGATCTTACAAAGCTTAAAGAAGATAATTTCGGAAATGATCAACAAAATACTGAAAATAATGATCTAAACAGACAGAAATCTCAGTTAGATGATGAAATAGCAGCAATAAAGGCACAAATTGAGAATCAGAAGTACCAGATTACTTATTCTCAAGCTCAAATGGGTGTTTTTGAACAAAGAAAAGAAAACATAAAGCAGAACCTCAATGGTGTTAAAGAAAGATATGCTTTGCATCGTGAAAAAGTTCTTAACATCAGTGACTTCAATATGACTCTCGCAGACATGGAATCTTCTAATGAAGCAATAAAGAAAAGAATTGCTGATACTGAAAGCAAAATCAAAGTTATTGAAGAGAAAATACATGTAACAATGGAAGCATGTAACAAAGAACAAAAAGATATTTAAGATTAAACATTGTTTGGATTTATATTTTAACTTTTAACTTTTTTATATTGTATTTTTATCAAATAAAATACATAAACACCTTCCACGTGGAACCATCTTCTTCTGCTCCTTGATAGTAGCTGCAGATGATTTCCATGCGGATGAGTTGCTTGCGACAGGGTTGATCTGATAAACTTCAAGATTTCCTTGCTGTCTTCGTTTTCATCGCAAACTCAATATCAAGTCGTTGTCTTCTTCTTCAAAGACGCCCCTCCACATCATCTTGATCGGTTGGTCCTTGTTTGATGATTTAAGTGATGGCAAAATGATCTTCTTTTTCGGCATTTGATTGGACATATCTCTGTTCTGTGATGTTCGATATCTTGGTGAGCTGTACATTCTCTTCAAAGTTCATGTCATCTCCTGTAAATTTGCTCTGTTGAGGAATAAAAACTAAAAAATAAAAAAGAGTATGAATATGTTTAGAATAAGCCTAGTGGACTGCCTTCATTTATTATAGCAAGAGCATAAGCCATATAATAGCGATAGTGGTTTAGTTTAATGCATGTAATTACACGGCATTCTTGAATGGAATTTTTCTCAAGAAGGCCAACTTCAATAAGTTGTTTGAGAAATGACGCGCTTTTGTTTTGGATTTCAACACCGCAATTGAGTCTAAAGCAATTGTGGAAAATATTTGTTTCAATATATACAACACTATTAGGAATGTTGATATGACTTAATGATGTGCAATTAGCAAATGCATATTTACATATTCTTTCAACTGATTTATCCGGAATCAAAATATTAACTAAGTTTCAACAGCAATAGAAAGCAGCACCTGAAATTTCTCTCAGTGTTGTTGGAACATAGAAGTACTGGCATTCACATGCTGGCGGAAAACAGATCAATGATGTCTTGCTTTTGTTAAACAATGCAAAATTTTCAACTTCAAAATAATCACTTCCATTGCATTCGAATTTTTTCAGTGATAAACAGCCTTCAAAGAGGAAATAGCCAAGTTTTTGAAGAGAACAGTTCTCTGGAATAATAAAATTCTCAAGTCTCTTGCAGTTCCTAAATGCGTACTCAGTAATAGAAATTGTTTGTTTTGGAACAACAAATGAAGAAATATTCGTGCTTTCAAATGCGTTTTCATTGATTTCTTGAATTGTTTCTGGAAGGTTAATGTCAGTAAGGTGAGTTGCTCCTTGAAATACATTTGCAACAAGGACTTTAAGTGAAGAAAAGCCTAAAAAGTTTATTCTTGTTAATTTAGAGCCCATAAAAGCATTACCTCCGATACTTTTTATTGAACTAGGAATTTCTATTTCAGTAAATCCACAATTTCGGAAAACTACGTGATATATATTTGTCAAATTCGTATTAAATACTATTGTTTTCAAATTAAAACAATCTGCAAAAGCGCCGGGTCCTAATATTAGAGGACCATCTCCATCGAAAACTACGGATTCAAGTGATGTACATTCTTGAAAAGCACAATTACCAATGCTTTCCAAACCCTTGAAATGTAAACTTTTAATTGAAGAACACATAAAAAAGCATTAATATCAATCTGTTTTAACGATTCAGGGAAGTTTATGTTAACAAGGTTTTGACATTTTAGAAATGCTAATTCGCTTATTTTGCTCAATTTAGAATTTGGAGAAAAATTAATCGTCTTGAGTTCTGAAATTTGTTCAAAAACATTATTTTCTATAATTTCAACACTTTTTGGGATATCATATTGCTCTAACTGGCTGAAGCACATGATAATAGATTGTTTGTTAGCACTGTAAAGCAATGACTGATGATCGGATGAAAAATTTGATCCTTCTGAAATTTCAATTGAAATATTTCTTGGAAAACATGAACCACCAAGGAAATCAACGGTCTTCGGAAGAAATATATACTTGAGGTTATTGCATGATATGAATGCTTGAGATTCAATGCGAGTAATTCCTTCGGAAAGTGATATACTTGAAATATTAGAGTTTTCAAAACAATTTGTGGGAATACTTTTGACACCATCTCCAATGGATACTGATGTGAGATTGAGGCAATCCTTGAATGTTCTTTCTCCAAGTGAAATGACTGAATTTGGAATAATTATTGAATTTAAATTTGAACTACTAAAGGCAAAACCATTAATCTTTTTAGATTTGGATTAAGATTTATGCGTTCTATCGATGTACATGAAAAAGCAAATTCTTCAATGATTTCAAGGTTATCTGAACAATTAAACTCTGTCCCATGATTTTTTGGATAGACATTTAGTGTCTTTTGATCTTTAGTGTATAATATTCCATCAACAACGGCATAGTATTCGTTGAAAATGTCACATTCTATTGAAATTAAAGTTGGAATATCGATAATAGCAGTTCCTGCAATATATACAACATTTCGTGGAATATAAAATGTTGATAATTGAGTAGATGCTAATGCATACTTATGAATTTTTGTTAATTGCAAATCATCTTCGAATGTTATTGTTTGTAGAATTGAACAGCTACCAAAACAATTTCATGATAGCTCTGTTATGCCATGCGGGATATTTATAGAAGTTATTTTACAACCTTGAAAGGCTTGACCTCCAATTACTTCTAAAATTTTTGGAAGAATGACTGTTGATAGAGATTGGCAATAATAGAATGCAGCATTGTCTATAGTAGTGAGACATTCGCAGTTTGTGAAATTAATTGAAGTTAATTTTAAACATCTATTAAGGGTGCCGGAAAGTGAAGTGAAAGCTATTTTAAAAACAACACTTTTCAAACCCATAAAATCATTTTTATTTTGATTTGTTTATATGAGTATAAACCTTAAGTGATGATGTATCATAGTATCATATTTAAACTAAGTAAAATCGATGTTTATGAACATAAGGTTATCAAAAACACACAAAAATCATACAAAATTTTTAAAATCTGGAAGGGAAAAAGTGCATTTATCTCAACATATGAGAATTGAAAATAAAATTTGTTCTGTAAAACTTTTAGTATAGCTATTGAAATTTTGTGTTTAATATATCTCACTGGCTTAAACACAATATTGGATGACTAGATACAAATCTAATTAAACTTTGAATGAGACCATTTCGACTGAAAACAACTACCATTGAGTTTGTTCCTTAATGGTAATTAGCAGAATCCAGTGAGATGGTAATGCAATCGGTCTTAGTTTTGAAGTTACCCACTAATTGCATCTCGACATTTTTTAACAAGTGCCAAATGTTTTCTGTAAAATATCTAGTATCTTGTACCTAGATATCACTTCTGGAGTATTAGCCCTTGCCATGGAAAAATCAGGGACTAGATAGGTCCGCAAGTTGGAAAAATGCAAAGCAGTTTTCTTCATACTGGAAGTATCTAAGAACTCAATATCATAGAAATAAAAACCTTAGTATATACACTACTAATATATGTTTCAATATCATTAATATCTTTACTACAAATGAAGTTATAAGCAATACTCGAAATCGCGTCACCTCACTTTCCGGCACCCTTAAAAGACCATTTACCAATGGTTTTAAGTTTAGATTGTGGAGGAAATTCGATAGATTCAAGAGTATTCTGACTGCCTGCAAATGCATAAATTCCCGTGTTTTCGTTGCCGTAGATTGTTTCCCATTCAGGTTTAAGTACAACATGGACACAACCATCTGTGGAATATAAAATCCGATTATTGTCAATATAATTTTCACCATAAACGATTTTTTAATGATTCAGTTGTCAAAAAAATTGCGATCCGCTTTATCTCAAATTTCATAAAATACGATAAAAATGTAATTGATACACACAGTTCAAATAAAATTATGATTGATTTTTATAGAAATATACTGTCTCTCTCTTGTGTAATGTCAAATAACTATAGAAATAGCTTCATTATGTTGGAATTTTAAAGCTTGGATATATTGATGTTATTTCTGTTGACATTTAATAAAAATATCGACCAGCGTTTAAATCGAAAGAAGATGAAATTAAAAATGTTTATTAAAATACAATACAACCAAGAAAAACTAAGATATTAAATTGAATATTTTGTTTGATTTCATCTTTTTCTTCTGTTTTTGTCTTTCTTTTTTATGGAAATTAACACTTTTCCAAAGTTTTGTCAGGGAGTGCGAAACTTTTAATGCGGAACAGAATATTTCCTATTCTAGAGATTTTTAAATATTCATACTTTCTGACAACTGAATAGAAGACCATGCCAAATGGGCATACGCGAATCCATTATACAGTAATAACGTAACTCTCTTCATAAGTTGAGAACTTAGCAAACTCATATGATTAGATACTAAATTAGATGATGTATTCTTAAATAGTTAAGTGTTTACAATCTATACATTTAAAATAAAAATACAATTTATCTTCTATGATGGTCATCGTATCTTCTATCATCTCTCTTTCTATCTTTATCTCTGTCATCATCTCTTCTCCTTCTTCTTTCATCTTCATCTCTTCTTCTCCTTTCATCTTCATCTCTTCTTCTTCTATCCTCTTCTCTTCTTCTGTCTTCTTCATCCCTTCTCCTTCTTTCATCCTCTCTTCTCCTGTCTTCTTCACGTCTTCTATCTTCTTCACGTCTTCTATCTTCTTCACGTCTTCTATCTTCTTCTCTCCTTCTATCTTCTTCTCTTCTTCTATCTTCTTCTCTCCTTCTATCTTCTTCTCTTCTTCGGTCTTCATCCCTTCTTCTGTCTTCATCTTCACGAGAATGACGAGATGATTTTCTGTCGTCATCGACTTTTTTCCTTCTGTCGTCGATTTGACTTGGAGTGGAGTATCTTCTTCCTTTGTCGTCAATTGGAGGAGGAGCAGATCTTCTCTTGTCATCAATGTGTGGACCACTTCTTCTGGCATCAACTTTCTGTCTTCTCCTTCTTTCTTCCTCTTCTTTCGCTGCTTTTTCTCTCGCTTGTCTCGTTTCTTCTTTTGCAATTTCGGATTTCGCTGCTTTCTCTTTTTCTTCTTTCTCCTTTCGCTTGGCTTGTTTCTGTTCCCTGATGACTTTGAGCTGATTCGTGTATGAAATCATTTTCAGCTTCAAAATTTCAGGTGGTGGATCGTATTCTTTGGAAATTTCTTCTAATTCAGCGAAAATTGCATCGAAATGTTCTTCTTTTTCAGGGAATTCCTTGGATACTGTGTAACAGACTTCGATTGTATTCAACAAACAGTTGATTTCGAGTCTTCTTAACAATATCATCAATTTGTCAAGGAAAATATTGTTTATTTCCTCTCTTTCTTCCATGTACCTGATACTTTTAAGTACTTTGACAATGAAAATCGCAAAACTGTGAGCTTCTTCGATTGTACTTGAATAAACTATGAAATGCAAGTTCCTAAGTACGGCATTTAACAGTTTCATGACGTCAATATGCTCAACGGTATGGAAAAGAGCGTTAACAAAGAAGGCGGAGAAGACTGCATCGTATTCTGAGAATAATGTACGGGGAATGACGCATAATTTGACGAAATTCCAGTAGTCGTTGTCATCTTTGAACCATTCCGTACCTCTTTCTCTCATTTTTTCGTAATTCTTATCCGACCTCTTTTGTTGTCTTTCGCGACTGGCTGTTAGGATAGCGATATTCATGTCGATTACTGCTTTGTCAGCAACTTTGGAGGCTCTTTCTTGCCAGTCTTGGATGACTTTGTCGACAAATTTGTTTGGAACGTGGAAATCGCTTGGCGACAGTCTCCAAAACATCTCAAATAAATCAGATGGAATCTCTGGAGGACTCAACTGGCGAGCAGACTCTTCTGTGCATGATTGTCTTGCTAAATGAAAAGCACATTCCAAAGATAAGCCATGTTCTTCGATAATTTCATTCGGCATGATCTTCATTGCCATCAGATCCATCGGTTCACAGCTTTCTATTATGGTAAACTGGATTTGATCAAGTCTATCAGATAAAGAATCTGTTTCCGAGAGAGAAGGCAATTGTCTTTTCATTACATCCAATGCCGCAATTATTTTCACACCGATATCATTCTCATGCAAGCAATCCTTCATGTATTTCGATCTTCTTGTGAAAGATTCACTCGCGCTTACATCATCAGTCAACACACGACGCTTAGTGTTCAAGTAGTTATCAGCATATCTCTCATTATACTGCTGCGGAGTCAAATTTCCCCTATACTCTACACCGCACATACGTTCGACCAACCGACCAAACAAACAAACATGGGCCGTAGACATATTTACAATTCCAGTGTGAAGGATATTTACGTACGCTGGCAAGTCCATATCCTTATAGTTAGCTCTGAAGACATTGGATAAGAACGTGGCAATGTCCTGTGGCCAGTCACTGACGTTCTTTCCTGCTGCAACAATGAGTTTTTGGTCAATCGATCGAAGAAAAGTGCCAAGTAACATATCGTAAGAAAGAGGGGATAAACAAGAGACTAAATTGATAACGGTGTCATTGTCGTATGGTACTTTGTCGCCAATGAATTCTATAAGTCCGCGAGCTGTTTTTTCGGGAGATCGCAGCATTAATCTTGAAAATTTCGGAGCAAATTTGGAAGCTGTGTCTTTTGTGACTCTTCTCATTGTGAATGAGATCTTTCTGATTGTATTCGAGACAATGAGCATCTGTTCGACACATACGGATTGGAATTTGTCGAAATTGTCGTAGATTTCGCGTCTTTGGGCAAATGTGAATCTGGATTTGAGATTTTCAAAGAGTTTGACTGACAACTGCCATGGAACATCACTCATGGCGATAGCGGGAAGAATGAAGTATGAATAAATCATTGGATCCAAGTCTGGAATATCCAAAATCATATTGACGAAGTTTGGATCGCATTCATGACCTCCAAGATAAATTAAGAGGTCATATTTCAGATTTTCTGTCTCCAAAGAGTCTAAAACTATCTTTTTGACGGAATTAAGGATTCCTTCTATTTGGCATGGATCAAATTTGGAAAGGACCTTCAAAGCATGGATGAAATCATCACCTTCAAGCTTCTTGAGCATCAAAAATAACGGAAATGACTCAATTACGTCTTTGGCTTCATTAAATCTTCTTCTAGCTTCGATATATGAAGCTTTGTATGAACTTTCCTTGGATTCACCTGGAAATATTGTCAATGGCTTCATCAGTTCATCGCAAAATCGTTTTGCTGATTGTTGATAATATTTATAAAGGCCAAAGAAGGCTTCTTTTTGAGTAGTATATAGGGAAAGAAGAAACTTATCGTTAAACAATTCATTTTCGTAAAAATAACCAACGATTCTGCTGACACCGGCTGTAAATTGAGTTTTCATACGATGTAAGAGGAATTGATAAACTCTGAGTGACGGAAATTGCTTGATAAGGTTGAAAATGTCATTGGTTGGATTTGAATCGAAAACTTCGAAAACAATATCAAGAGCTACATTTGGATCTATTCTGTATCCGCCGCATATTTGGACTAAATCATCATACTTACCATTGTAAATAGAGAGTAAAAGTCGTGCAAAACCTTCAGGACAATCTTTGAAAAATTGATTTTGATTAAAACTGCTGCTTTGATAAAATGACTTGAAATAATTCATGAAGCTTTTGATATTTGTAATGCCCATAGAGCTCCAATCGTTTTTATCCATTGTTAACAAGAAATAAGGAACAATTGTTGGATACCTACTTACAATAGCAATCCCAAGTAGTTTAATGCGGGTTTCATAGGGCGAATTTTTTGAAATATTGATAAATGTCCAGAAAACAGAAGATATTACACTTAAATTTACATTTGTTGAAAAAATATCATCTGCTGTTTGATCCTGGCTTTCATCGTTTCGCTGAAGAAAATTATGGATTATTTCACTTACTTTTGCATAATCCTCCTTCTTGAAAGCCTGAATCATAAATTGTTAAAAGTGACAATGACACTTTTTCAAATAAAGTAGGGGGTAACAAATTTATTATGGGAAAAATCTTTCGAAGTTCTCATTTTACCTATGAAATCTAAATTTATATGTGTGACCTCAGCGAAATTGACAACGTTGAAGAGGATAGGATGGAATATATCACTCCGTACGATCAATTGTGGCTGAATGTGTTGAATGACGCGCCATTACAGTTGCCATCTTTTGTTCATGAAGATAACATACTCGATTTTGAAGACGAAGACAAATCCAATGAGCAATCAAATACACCAGAATCTTCTGCAAGTGTAAGTCCACTCCTTGCCACAAAGTTTCAAGAAAGCTGTATCAAAATTACTCCTTTCAAGTTAAAAGTAGATACAATCCAAGGGCCAAGGTTCTTATGCACACGCAAGCAGAACATTGATAATGAACAATCTGATTCGGACCAAAAGAAGGATCAAGATGATTCTCCTTTGCCAAGGAAAAAAAGATTCTCAAAATCTGCTAAACAAATTCTTAATGATTGGTTTGAAAATAATATAAAAAATCCATATCCGTCTAAGGAAGAATTAGCTCAGCTTACTAAAGAAACAGGACTAAGTTTGAAGCAACTTCATACTTATTTTATAAATAAGAGAGTTCGCTGCAAACAATCATACAAGAATTCATGGAAGAAGGAATGTCCCAAGAAGGATTTAATAATATCCTTGAAAACACTGGAATTAATTAACATTGGAAATAAAGCATAGATATATTAACTATTTTTATACTAATGATCCTTGTTTTTACGAATTTTGCTATTCTAATAAACAAACAAAGCAAAAATTGGAGAACTTTTATCAGATTTAAGTTATCTAGTCCCATTTCTCTCTCAGTTTTGTATTGTTAATGGATATTTACTTCATCATCAGCTGTAAAACCTATTTACATGGAATTGCTGGGACTTATCCTGACAAAATTAAGTTATTAAATTATCAAAATTTTATTTCTTTATTTTGTATGGAAGAGGCATCATATTATCTTAGATAGAAAATTTCGGTCACACTTGTCTTGAAAACTTCAAATTTGAAAATCAAATAATATTGAATCGAAAATAAGCAGATTCTTGATAGATGAAATTTTATATTTTAGTACAAACAACAATTATAATTCATGTTGTCTATTCTAAAATTCTTCGATTTTTCCAATTTTCCTGGAAAATTCGCATTTATTCGATTCATTTTTAAATTTTTGAATTTTTTTTGGAATTTTTCACATTGAAATTGAGGCATATAACCATGATTATCATGGTTACACACATGAGAATATATAATTTATATCATAATGAATTCTTATATCTTCTTTTTGGGCAAGATTGCCTTCATTTCTCGTAAATATAAACATTATTTGCAATAAACATACATAAAAATACAATTAATTACTTAAAATATGTTGATTTATTAGTTTCAATATATACTAATACTATTATAAGAATTCAATAGTTCCAAGATTTTACTCCATATGCAGTTTCTGCATATGTTAACATGTTGAAAAAGACTAATACTTAAATGTCTAGTAGATATGATATATTTTCTTCTCATAATGAGAAGACAAAAAGAAAAATAGTTAATAATATTCCAAAATGTGTTTTTACTCAAACATCAAGTTGCACAAATAATATATTATTAGAGTACATATGTATGAACATCAAATTATCAAAAACAAATTTTGATAATACTATCTTCAAAACTCCTTTGTAGTTTTCTTCAGTACTTTGTCTATTATTCACCAACTAAGTGGATGTTATATTCCCATCACCAATTCCAGAAAATCATCATTTTGAACAATGGAATTTGCTATGTATTTGCGTTTTGACAAAATGATTTTACATGTCAAAAATTTTAAATGAATTAAATAACGTACAACAGGCACTTTTCCTTAGAAAGTAAAAAATTAAAATGACTGATAATGATTTTTCACAGGTATTAGAGAAGTATTCGAATTACCTTGGAACTCCACACGATAAAAAAGCACTTCTAGCATTAGGTACTCGACTTTTTGGCACTCAATCTAACCAACCAATCGAAAAACCTTCGTATTCTTTACTTAAACGTAAAGAAGCAGAGTTAATCATTAAAGAAGAGAAAACAGAACCAATTATCAAGAGTATTCATCAAGTTCACGGTCATGCACGCGTTGAACAACCACAACAACAAACTACATCTCCAGATTTAGTGAGCGAAGAACTATTAATTTTATCAGATAAGAATGCTTTACTTCTCGCACGCCAGAAAAGATTAGAATTTCAAAGAGATCAAATGTTACATTCGTATGGAGATCTTATGGAGCAAAGTGTTCAACGTAAAGTACAACTTAAACTCGATATGAACAAACTCAAAGAGGAGCTCAATGAAGCTTTGCTAAGATCTCGACCTCAGGAGCAACAAACGAATGATCAATCAAGTCAACAAGAGAAAAGACCAATTATGGATGAATTACGTGACTTGAATTCACAAGTATTAATGCGTATCGGTAGCTTCAAGATGTCGCTTTCAAAGAGTAATGCTTTTACAGAAAAAGTTGTTTTGGATCGTTACAATCCTCATATGGAAAAACTACTTGGAGAAATATATTCTTACTCTACTTACTTGCCTGTTAATGAAGTTATCGATAAATTTAATCAAGAAGCTGATAAAGTTGAACATGAAACAAGAGATATCGAAACACAGCTCAAAAGCGAACACGAACGTAACTTACAACTCCAGAAAGAAGCAGAATTGTTATCTAAAGATGTTAAAGAACAAGAAACTATTGTAACTCTGCTCAAACAAAAGAATGCACAATTAACCAAAGAAATAGAGCTTCTTCAGCAAATAGGAGATGAAGAAATTAATAATATGAACGTAGCATTCAAGAGTTTGCTAGATAATGAAAATGATTTGATGGGCCTTCCTTTATCTGCTCGTGCTACAGTTGTAACACCAGCTACACAGCCAATGAGACTCAAACGTTCTGTATCCAAGAAGAAACTCGTTACAAGAGAAAAAGCAAAGCCAAAAGTTCCATCAGTTGATGAATTTGTTGAACAGATGAAATCAATCCTACTAGAAAAGATTAACCACTCTCAATAACCCATAATAAAATTTGTTTGTTTATTTTACCAATCATAACAAGATATTTTTTGAAATTTTTGGAAAAATCTATTGATTAATTTTGCTATTCTTCCTAAATAATTCGAATAACATCATTTATGAAGTTATTCAGCATAAATTTCATGAATATAAATATAAAAATTTCAAATTTACGCGTTAAATCATCCAGTTTATGAATATATTCATATAATTTTTCAGTGAATAAAGTTGCAATCATCCTCATTGTATATGAACGTTGGTAAGAGGAATTTTTATAATTTTCCAGAAATTTTGTCTAAAAAAGTGTACGTTTATGTTACCTTTGGGATTCAATCATGATTGAATAAAATCCATCGATTTTAAAATAATTTTAGTTTTTACATTCTGTATTGGTGCTAGATTTTAATTGATTTGTATTCGTGCCCTTTCAAAAATATGCAAGAATCTCATAGCACTCATTCGTTCCATGAATCAGAGCCATTAGCAGATGGTAGGCGAACCTTAAGAGATAGAAGTAATTCTGCAAAGTTTTCATCAAGCGAAATATTCTTTCAAGGTAAATTCGAGGGAAGTTGGGAATTATTACCACAAAAATCGAATATAAAACCATATAGAGAAGGCGAGTCAATTACGTTTGATCCTACATCTCAAAATTTCTATTTTTCTTATGGACTTGAGGAGAATGAAAAATATTCAGATTCTGTCTACGCATATAATATAAATAATCAAGATTGGACTAAACTAGATATCAAAGGAACTAAGAAAAAAGCATATTGCGGTTCAACTTTCGCTGATAATAAATTATGGTTTTTTGGAGGATCGATTCTTAATGATTTTATTCAAGATTTCCATTATATAGATCTAAAAACTAACGAAGCTGTATATCCAGAAACAAAAGGAGCACTTCCTCCAAAATGTCATTCTCCATTAGTTTTTCAACATAACACAGATCTTATTGTTTGGACACCAGCGACACGCTCAACATCCTCATCTCTTCATATACTTAATTTGAATACGATGACGTGGAGCCAGATAGAAACAGAACATGTATACAGATTAGGAGCTGCCGCTTCAATCCTAGATGACCGATTATACATTCTAGGTACAGCAAGCTCATCAGAAACAGTAATTTCATTAAATTTAAACGACTACAGTCTGACAGTATTACAAGCAACTGGCGAAGATCCTCCATGCGCGCCAGAATCTATGTTTGTTCGTACAATGGGTGAGTATATAGTCCTTGTTAGCTCATCGTGCGAAGAGAAAACTCCATGCCTGTACTTTTTCATACCAAAGAAAGCTTTATGGCTAAAAATTATATATAAAAAGCGTGAACTCAAAGGTCATGCAATCGGCTTTTTCGCTGATAAAAAGGCCAACGCGCTTTATTTACTGCTCCGCTACACTCAAGAGGAGTGCAGCGAGAGGAGTGTCGAAATTGCATGCATAAATGCCGGAGTTTCGATGGCATTTATTAATCACGAATTAGATATGATGCAAATGTTATTTTAAATATTTTTTGGACGATATGTAAACTTACGGTTTTTTTCATATTTATTTGTGAGACAATTATCGGTTAGATCTGTCATATAACATTTAATGTTCAACTTCTTCAAGAGCAAAAAGGAGATCCTTCTCAGCGAGATGCATGACATTTATCATGGCATTAATGCTGCAGGTAAAGGCCGCAAGTCATATGCTCAGAGTTGGAACGATTTTGCTAAGTTTGCCAAGGCTATGATATTAACACAGAACCCAGATGTCACTGAACAGATGGATCGTTTAGTAGATCTTTGCGCTAAGTATGGTGAATCCCAATCCCGCCTCGCCGAAGCCGAAATCCGTAACTCCGAAGATTTCCGCGATGTTGCCGAAAGATTTACAGTTGTATACAGAGCTAACAACGAATACATCGACCAGAAGAGGAAATTCCGTGAGCTCGAGGAAGCTCTTAAGAATGCCATCAAAAAGAATGAAGAAGAATCTCAGAAGTCAAACTACGCCAAGAACCAGGCCAAGTTAGAGGCAAATATTAAGAAGCTCAGAACAGAGAAGAAAGAAGCATACGAACTTACAAAACAAAAACTCCGTGATCTTATCGACACACGTAACAAATACAACGCTTTCAAGATCCGCCGCTTCTGCCACGGCTGGTCATTACTCGGAGAGGCCCTCAAGGCTGAAGGACAAACAATGTCTCAGGTTCTTGACCAAATTTCTGAATGCCTTTCAAGCCTTTCCCTTTCAAAGGAGGCTGCCGCTGAAGTTCAACAGGCTGTCCAGGATCAGGTCGCTGCTGCCCCTGCTACAAACTATGCTGAACAACCAGTCGAATCCAATCCATCATTTGGTGGATACGATTAAGCCAATTTAAACTCTTTTCTAATACTCTTCATTACTTATTTCCCTGATTTTCTTGAATAAAATCCATGGTAAATGGGTATATATTATTTTTGCCAATCAGAAATCTCTTTTTATTCAAGTTTTAGCACAATGATCATTCTAGGAACTTCATACATATGCTAATATTAGTATAATTGGTTGATAAAATCATTTGAAAATCTTGTCATGAATTCAAATACGCTATCAGAGTACTGTTTTATATGAAATATGCATTAGTTTTTCTAAAATATATCTCGTACAAATGAATTAGGTCCAATTTGCAAATAAAACGGATCAATCAATTCGAAATTTTGTCTTCCGGAAACATAACTCAATAATTTTGATTTAAGCCAGGACATCAAGACATGATTTCGGACCATAATTACCGATTTAAATACCCTCAATTTTTGACTTTTGCAACTTTTTCATGACCCCCTACCCAGGTATCTAAAATACCATTTATCGCCTGAAAAGCACCCTTAATTTATTCCAATTGACAAAATAAAGATATGTTTAGAATGCTGATATGATGGAAAATCATGCTGCATCATTATTGGCCAGCAATATATAATATTTAAGAAATCTACGAGATTATCTGATTTCATGAAACTCAATGTATACTAAGTTTCAGACTTTGAAATTTTAACATGTTGATATGGGTACATAGGGTTTATGATTCCAGTCATTTATTTAAAAAATTACAAAAATGAATTAATATGATGTGAGTAACAATGGTAATAAACGCTTAATTACTAATATATTATTTCTTGGTAGGAATGAAATGTTTTGGTGACATTTATAGAAGTTAAGCTGAGAATCAAAAATGCAAAAATTATTTTAAATATTACAAGCATTATTTGATGTCATTGAGTTTAGAGTCGTGTAGATATATGAGTACAATATGTTATTGATGTATATATGCAATAATTGTGAAAATGAAATGTGAATCTCAAGATGAGTTGCATGTTACTGCGCTATAATTTGAATTCAATACGTACATAACATTACTAAATGTATTTTAAGATAATACAAAAAATTAAGCTTGCAAAAAGATATCGAAATGTAATTTTCATTAGATTCAAAGTTCTGAATAGATTTTGATTTTAACTATTGATGAGTTTGTCAAACCTCTATAATAATAGAATGTAGAACTAATTAAATATAATTAATAAAAAAATACAAATTTAAGTGATATTATAAGAGATATATGTGATGTTACCAATATGATATGATATTGGAGAACTGATAGAATTGTGATGTGAGACTAAATATGATTTTATTATGAATAGGAGAATAATATTAGAAGAATTTCTTGAATTTAATGTATCTGAATATGTAATTGGGCATATATTCTATATATATATTGGTAGGTTAACTAGAAATAAGAAGATGAAAGATTGTTAATGAATAATATGAGATTAAGCGAAAATATATTGTTCTAATAGATGAGTGTTGAGATCCAATATATATGAAGAGGGATATGTGAGAGGAAATATGTATATTTAATAAAATAAGCGATGAGAGAAAAAATAACAAAGATTTATATGAAATTTTGAGTATTGAAAAAGCTCGATTAGTGATTTTATGTCTGTTAAAGGAATAGATATTCTAGGAGAAAGATAAATTGAATTAAAGAAGAATAAAAAAAGTTGATTAAGATTGATAAAAATATTGAATTGTATGACAATGGAAAGAAGGAATAAATTGGTGTTGGTATGACGGTATCATTTCGGGAGACATTGCCTCTGCATGTCTCCCAGAATGAGACAATCTTCTGCAATCAGAATGTGATTGCAAAACTTTGACCGACAAGAGTGTATTGTGCACTCCTGTCGGTCGCAGTGTCTCATTCTGGGAGACATTGCCTCTGCATGTCTCCCAGAATGGAACAATGTTCCGCATTGATAACTTGAACGCGGAAGTTTGACCGACAAGAGTGTATTGTGCACTCCTGTCGGTCGCAGTGTCTCATTCTGGGAGACATTGCCTCTGCATGTCTCCCAGAATGGAACAATGTTCCGCATTGATAACTTGAACGCGGAAGTTTGACCGACAAGAGTGTATTGTGCACTCTTGTCGGTCGCAGTGTCTCATTCTGGGAGACATTGCCTCTGCATGTCTCCCAGAATGGAACAATGTTCCGCATTGATAACTTGAACGCGGAAGTTTGACCGACAAGAGTGTATTGTGCACTCTTGTCGGTCGCAGTGTCTCATTCTGGGAGACATTGCCTCTGCATGTCTCCCAGAATGGAACAATGTTCCGCATTCATAACTTGAACGCGGAAGTTTGACCGACAAGAGTGTATTGTGCACTCCTGTCGGTCGCAGTGTCTCATTCTGGGAGACATTGCCTCTGCATGTCTCCCAGAATGGAACAATGTTCCGCATTGATAACTTGAACGCGGAAGTTTGACCGACAAGAGTGTATTGTGCACTCCTGTCGGTCGCAGTGTCTCATTCTGGGAGACATTGCCTCTGCATGTCTCCCAGAATGGAACAATGTTCCGCATTGATAACTTGAACGCGGAAGTTTGACCGACAAGAGTGTATTGTGCACTCTTGTCGGTCGCAGTGTCTCATTCTGGGAGACATTGCCTCTGCATGTCTCCCAGAATGGAACAATGTTCCGCATTCATAACTTGAACGCGGAAGTTTGACCGACAAGAGTGCATTATCCAATCTTTTTTGTCATATACCTCAACCCACAAAGACAAAAACTTACATAAAATAGGTAAACTTTGGTTTTCACTTAATAATGTTTATTTTTAATTTTTTGTTCTTTATATAACTTTTTCTTCTACTAAACTATTTTACAGACTCTACTGAGCTATCCTCACATATATACATGTGACAATAACACATATATACTCCCTTCATATTCTGATCTCATGACATATTACAGCACAAACTATAATTATACAACATACCTCATAAAGTCTGATTTTACCCCTATCTAAGCGTTCAAAACCTATTTTCCCCGCGTAATCTGATTCTTCTGGCTCTGCTGATTCGATTTCTGCTGTCAGATCGTGAAAATATGCATCACACAATGAGATAAACACAAAATACACAACTTAATATTTTCCTTAAAATTGTCAATTCCTCGATCTTGACATATTTATTATTTCCTCCGTTTTCCCTCACAAATATATTTAATTTTCTGAATAAGACGTATAATAAAATGAATATCTTAAAAACTAAAATACAAAATTAATGTTGGGTAAAAAAAAAAAAAAAAAAAAAAAAGGTAGTGGGGCTTCCAGGCACTTCGTGCCTTCTAGCCCTGATGATGTTTAGTAATAAATGAAGTTTTTTATTCGGAAAATTGTTAGTCTTCTGGGTCGAAAACATTATATAATGTTTCACTTTTCACAAATTATATATGTTTTCATGTTTTGTCAAGATTTCATCGTAAATGTTTTGTCAAGACTTCTTCTTCGTAATGAGTGTAAAGGACCCAAAAATATAATTTAGGGTAGAAGGTTAGATCTAACCTCTTTTCTAACCTCTTTTCTACCCTCTTGAATTTTCAAGACTTCTTCGTACATGTTTTGTCAAGACTTCTTCGTAAATGTTTTGTCAAGACTTCTTCGTAAAATCAGACAAAAATAATGTTTAGGTGAAGAGGTGAGATCTCACCTGTTTTCTCACCTGTTTTCTCACCTCTTGAATTTTCATGATTTCATCGTAAATGTTTTGTCAAGACTTCTTCGTAAAATGTTTTGTCAAGACTTCTTCGTAAATGTTTTGTCACTTTTCTGTCACTTTTCAGGTAAAAACATTTTTATTATTATATATAAATGAATTTTACAAAACCACCGTTACCGTTCTTTGGAAATAAGAGTAGATGTAAAGATATTATATTGAGAGAACTTAAGAAACTACCGAATGGTCTAACATTTGTAGATTTGTTCGGTGGAAGTTTCTATATATCCCATTTGTGCCATATAATATTCCCAGACTCAAAGATTATATGCAATGACTTCGACAACTATATGAACCGTCTCAAACATATTCCAGACACAAACAATATATTGAAAGAGTTAAAAGAAAAGATACCTATAGGTAAGATGGAACGTATACCATTAGATAAGAAAAATATTGTGAGAGAGGTTTTGAAAAAGCAGAATATATAGACTGGGATAGTATATCTGCTAGACTATTATATAGTGGTTCTATAAGAGTTCATGACATTGAAACACTTATGTCAAAAGTTTTATATCTTAACTATACAAATGTTTTCAAAGAGGACATAGAAAAATATATTGAGGGTATAGAGTTTGTGAGATGTCATTGGACAGATTTGTATGAAAAATATAAAGACAAGGAAAATGTTTTCTTTATAGTGGACCCGCTTCTATAACACATGGGATTTTCAATACCAAGTAGACTGGACTTTGAGAGACTCTTTAGAAACTTTAGACGTTTTACATAACCATCCATGCTTTTACTTTACATCCGATAAAAGTGGTTTGGAAACCGTTATGAGATGGTTAGAGGATATACATGACTATGAGTTTATATATATGACAAGATAGAATATGAGAGAGGTCCTATAAACTGGAGAAAGTGTCACAATAAAGAAATTTTATTAGTAAGTAAATGTGGTTTGAAATCGGACTACTTGTTTTAGGTTTTTCCATTGTGTCATTTATTTATTTGACGTGGCAGAAAAGTACAGAGAATATGAAGATGAACCAATGCTGCAAATGTTCAGTATATGTACTCGTAAGAGATATTTTTATCTAATATTAAATGGACGCACAGAACTTAGCGAATGCACAGCAACCTGGACAACCAAACCCAGAGAATATTCCAAATGAAGTTAGAATACAAACTGCAATGGCAAACTATGGTCAAGTGCAACAGATGTACAAATGCAAACTGCCATGTCAAATGACGCTGCGTTAGGTTTGCCACCATGGTATGCAAATATGAGATGGAAAGAGTTTTATACAAACCCTGAGGTGGGATATAAAC